CGTGGACCTCCCTCGTTACTCGTGGTCGGCCTTGTTCTGACGCGAGCACGGTTTCTTTCAACGTGACCGCTCTGAAGCGTGTCCTTAGTTAGAGAAAGCGAAGAAGCAGAGGCTTGGAGAGGGACTTCCTGAAAGAGAATCGCGCCTATGAACGCAGTGATTATAATTTAATTGGGAGATCTGACGCGGATATTAAAGTTCGGTTGGGTCACCTGACGCGCGTCCTTTCGAGGAAGTACGCCTGACGCGGCGATTAAAATTTGGTTAGAAGACCTGACGCACATAGGATTCCCTTTCGAGAAAATACACCTGATATGATGATTATAATTTAAATGGAAGGCCTGACGCACATGGGATTTCCTTAGTCACCTGACGCGACGACTCATTCTACTTAAAATGTACGTTCTTCAACTGTTCTACTAGTTGGTTTCATTCGTTTCATTTAAGTGTGAAAGTATATCCCCCATTTTTATTAATACTCCGTATGGTAGAGCTAAATCCATCGTGAAGAGTGTGAAGACGGAACGAGAACTCCGAACGACTCGTTTTTCTGCTCGTGAATCACTGACGCGTGGTTCCAGTGATCCTTACCGACAGATGGTTTCAATGTTAAAAATCGTTAGGCCCGTCGTAAACGATATCCTTCTTCTTTCGATTGGTTTAAGGAGCCCTGAGAAATACGGTGCACTTAGTAGCTGAAGTCCCACCCCCGTATTCACAAAAATTGTTTATTTATCTTCCACGGCCGATCCCGGATTAAAAATATTGCTCCCTAGCCGGCTGAAGTCTAAACACTCGGGACGAACGATATATCATCGGGCGTGAAAACATCTTTGGCCGTTTGTACAGCTGCCTGGGAAGTAACTTTTGCCCAGGGGGAGTCGTCGTTTCACGGCCACTTTCGATTATACCGCGTTAACACGTCGCCACTCGAGCAATCAGTTATTCATGAAATTTAAAAGAAAAAAAAAAGATGACACTTCAGAGGGGCATAGAGCAGCAATGAAATTCAATTTATTATGGTGTACAGTGTCATTTCCAGTAACGGAGTGTAATTGTCAGTAGGCAAAATGCATTGTCAATTGTAGTGTGCATTATTCAGTGAGTAAAACGCACCTGCAGTAGTAGAATGAAATGTTCTGTAGGTAAAGTGCATTCGTTGCAGTAATGTGCAATTTTCCTCGGCAGTGTGCAATTCTCAATAATTGGAATGCACTTGCACTAGTAGGGTGCAATTTTCCTTAGCATCGTGAAGTTTCTCAATAAGTAAGGTGCTCTCACAACATTAGACTGCAGTTTTTCAGTCTACCAAAAGATATAAGGGCTGGTTACGGTGGTTGATTCATGAAAATCGTACCTAGGATGTATGAAAAGGAAACGAAGGGCCCCGAAGAAAATCAGGGAAGACGGTTTCGTTGCGTTTTTCACCGTCAGTCGAGGAATCAAGACAACACGGGGTCAGAGCCGAAATAAAGAGCAGCAGCCGAGCATCGTATATGTGTGCGTGCTTTTTACGGCAGCCGGCCACTCGACGTCCGATACTCGAGGAGCTTTAATAAGTGGAGCACACGAGAGGGGCTGGAACTCTCGAATCTTGCATACCACGCAACCAACCACGCCGAGGCTACTTGTATTTGTCCCGCATCTTATGGCTGTTTCCCTTGAATTCGTTATTCGATCTACGAAACTTCGTATGGTACAAAGTCAAACATGAGGTGTAAAGACTCTCGACGAACGGGAAAACTTTTTTACAAGTTGAAGAAAATGAAAGCTTCGACCACGTTTTGACCGGAAGTAGTGGCCTTTGAGACTGTTTAAGATTTTATTCTCTTCTTTTTTATTTGAATGTGCCCCCCCCCCGCCCTCCTAAAAATATTTATACGATTCCTCAGACCCCACCTGAGCACTTAAGGGTTAAATTAAAAATATTTGCAGACATTTAATTCATTGAAACCGGCAGTTGGGGGCTGCAATGGTCACGGAAGGGTTGAGTGTGTTCCAAATAGGAAATTCGTGTTCACCTTTCGTCGCGTGAGTCGGATATACATGGCTAATGATATAGCAACGTGTTTTGTCGGCCAGTAACCGGTCGGACGTCGATCGATAAGCAGAACAGAAATTATTTCCGTTCCCTTCGGGGTGGTTAAACTCGTAGCTTAAAAAATAAGCCAGCACCAATTCACCGGAGTTTCACGCGTACCCTGGTAAATGAACCTCTATAAACATTAAACATGGCTCGTTTCAAATGAATAGAATAATTCCTGCATTCGTGGCTTGCAGAACGATACTATAAAATGTGTGTAATAAAATTAATGAGGTTCTCACTTTATTGAGAGCCATTCAGAACCTTTAACCCTCGTACACTGTTCAATAAATGATTGCATTACTATTTCTTGAATTAAACTTGGTCTAAAAGCTAAAATCAAATTAAGAAAACATGCTACTATTTTAAAATTAATTCACAAGTTTCTCCGATAAAGAGTACATATAATAAAACATTTTAATCTGAGAGAATGAGAAGAAATTCTTCCTGGATTCTGATTTTCCTTAAAAACTAGCCCACAAAACTCTTTATATACCCATGAACATCCTCAACCTAACAAAACTAAATCTTTTAAAAAAAAATCCTCAAACTACTAATGGATCATTCTAACAGAACACTACTTTTCCATAAACACCCTCACATTACTAATGGATCACCCTAATCTCGTCTTTACACTCCATCCCCTCAATGATCCCTACCCTCACAAAAGAGTAACAATGAAGTCGTTCGAATCGGTGGGTTACGAAGTAGATTTTCCGTGGTTTTCATTCCTCGTTCGCCTCGACGAGCACAAGCGCAGCGGGTTCGAAACGTTGAAATCAGGTTTATTCAAGTAGGACAATCGCCGGTCGGCAGGGGGATGATTTATACCGTGTGGCACATGCTCGCGTTATCGCGCGCCATAGAAAAGCTTCGGGTGCACGTTGCCATGAACTACTGAACCCCTATTTTAAGCACCGCAGCTGTCACACCAGCGTACACGTCGTCGTAGCGTGGACCCCGATGTATTCGGGGCGGAAGGGCGGGATCGGGGCGTGGATAATCGGCTTTTACAAACGTTTAAACGGGAAAACGCTTTCCTGAGAGAGCGTGGGTAGGGCTTTCATTACGCTTGCGAAGCTTCTCGCGAAAGGGAGAATCGATGGTTCTGATGCTCGACGAACATCCTGCTGGTTCGTTGAGACCCAAAGAAAGGCTGGGACAGGTGTTTTGATTAAGGGCTGAAGAAGGGGGTGGGTGAATAGCTGGTTAATTTAGCATATGCCCTGGATTGGACAATTGTATACTGGAGATGATTGGACAGTATTTTGAGTGAGATGTACAGCAGGAAGTAGGATGGTGTAGCCTAGACACTAGGTTAAACACTTATTCCAAATATAGAGGAAGAGTGGTGTATTTTGGTCGAAGCCTGAAGAAAGGAATGAAACAGCTGGTTTAGGTAGCTTATCCACTGGATTAGACACTTGTGTGAAATGTACGGGACGAGTGGATAATGTTTCGATTAAGGTCTGTCGCAACCAATTGAATTGTTGGTTGATGTAGCTGACCCAATGGGACCCAACTGGACACAATATTACCCCAATAGCAAACAGGTGACGGGCTGGTCGATGAAATTACGTTTCACGGTGAAGAAACGTGCGTCAGATACGGTTGTTCACAAACTTGTACAGATTTCGAGCATTCTGAAAAATTCTGCGTCAGTTTTACGATCCCATATTGGTCCAATAGCAAACAGGTGACGGGCTGGTCGATGAAATTATGTTTCACGGTGAATAAACGCCGAAGCGACGCTCGGATTCCGCGGGCGGCGAACGCGGCCATTGAGTCATCGCGCTGACGCGCGCCCGCGCGTAATTTACGGTGCACCAAAAACGATGAAGAGGAGAGAAAAGAATGCGAACAGCCGGATGCCGTGGAGCCCGAGTCACATGCACGTAAACTGACACGTGCACCCTCTTTTCAGCCACGGTCCGGTGACTTTCAAGATGGGGAACGAACGACGGCGCGGACTTTCTCGTCGGGACTCTGGAACCTTGCACACGTTGGAAGGTTCGACGCGTTTCCGTCAAATTGTCCCTTTGTCTTCGGTGGAGAAATTGCCCGCTGTGAGAGGGATAACGAGCTTCTTTCCCCCCTTCGACCCTCTGCAACCTGATTCCGCGACGCTATTAACAGTAGAACTAGCGATGATAAACGCATGTGTAATTTGATCGATCGATAAACATTGCAAACTGTTGAGAATTTACAATCTTATAAATTAAATAATTGTTTCACTTTTATATCGTAATGAAAGTTCCAAAGATCTTAGAAAATGTATTGGTATAACATTTTACGAAAAACTAGGCAATAAATGTATACATCCTGAGCTTTCTGATAATGAATTGAATCTTGTACTATACCGAATATTCCTGATATTGAATTTTTAATTTTTACAGTTTAATGCATTGACTCCCCTAGCCCAGCTTTAAGTATGAAAAATATGTATGGGATCCGGGGATCGACGCAACGCTTTAGCACCCCCAATGTAATCCACGCAGATCAATCACCGGTTAATTTCAATTTAATTGACCGCATTGGGGTTACCCATCTCCCCTCCACAATTACTCTCTATTGAATTACTCGTTCAAGCGTCCAAGATTCAGTTTTTCCTAACTCCATTGAATTCATAACACACGCACCAAACCTCATATAATTCGATTATATCATTATACATTAAATAATTATTTTCGTTGAATTTTTAGAAATTTCATTATTGATTTCAACTATTTTTTCGACGAAGATCCACTTTAATTATCATCTCAATAAATCGTGTTGTTTGTTATAATATCGTGAAGTAATTCTTGATGTCCAAGAATCTTTTCGATAATTATATAAAAATTATGTGAAATAAAGTCACGTAATGCAAAAACAATGTCGAGCGGCGTATTAACTGTCCTTGTTTGTCTTGTTTTTCCAGAGACCCTTCAGGAACCGCGATTCACCACTCAGCCATCCAGCAGCGGCAATATTCTTAGCGAGAATCGAACGAAATTTCTGCAGTGTCAAGCGAGAGGTGAGTTACGAAATGCTTCCTCTATCTCGGCCCGTACATTTCACGAGATCTGACCCGGAAGGGATGATCTGAAATTGATTAAGAACCCTTTTCCACTCGAGCCTCGCGCCTGGCCTCGTGAACTCGAGCAAACGGCACAATTACAGAATCACCTCTCCAGAATATTCCACTAAACCCCTCCATTAAAAAAAAACGAATAGTTAAAATAACACTGGCCTTGTTAAAAAAAATTTGCAATGAATTTCAAGAAGCCACTATATAACACTATATAATTTATCTATATGAAATTTTAAAACTAAATACAACAAGAATTTTCACTGATCCCTGAGTGGCCTTACCATTTCAGAAGAAGACGTTGCATAATTTTTTCTCAAAGTACGAATTATTTCCAGATGTTTCGGACGACAGGACTGAAAAGTATCGTTTTTTTTTTTTCGATTTTCTAAAAGTTCTTTTGTTAAATGTATAGTTATTAATTGTTCGGTGTGTCAGCGACCGCCAAATTATCAACGACCCTCGCGATATGTCCCATTGTTCCCATGAAATATCGAGTAACAGGCGGATGAGACGGTGACCAGATGAAGCCTTACCACACGGCAGCCCGTTGCCGTAACACGATAGCGTGACCCTGCGCTAATAGTATTAGATCGACAGTACCATAGTGCCATACGCTTCGGCCGAACAAGAAATACCCACAGTGCCCCTGAAACAAAAAAATTAACACCTCGAAACTGGTAAATCCCGACGATTCCCTGAAGAAAACAAACCCCGCGTAATAAAAATCGCAATAGAGATCTCAAGGAGCATTTTTCCAGTAGGCAGACCGCCATCTTGGAACGTTCATATATGCTCAATATTAGACAATAATGGTAATTTCTCGGCAGAGTTTAATTAAATCAATTTCACTCTTTACCCAACTCATTATCGTTAATAAAGAACATGTACTGTAAACAAGGATCGTTGTAATGTAAATGTAATGAATATTCTCTCGAGTATTACACCTAATGGTAACGCAACATTCTGGAGTCTCACTACCCTATGTGCAATATGTAAATAAAATTGTCACTACCCGATCTTTAATATCTAAATAAAATGGTCACCACCCTATATATAATATCTAAATAAAATGGTCACCCTCCTACCTGTAATATCTAAATAAAATGGTCTCTATCCTATCCGTAACATCAAAACAAAATGGTCACTACTTAAGATTTCGTAATGGTAACACGCACACTTCACTTGCTACATACGTATACTTTGTCTGTAGGGTACCCTCAGCCGAAATACAAATGGTTCAAGGATGGCGTACCTCTCACGAACGAGCTCACCTCGGAGCCGTATTTTCGAATACAAAGTACACGAAGGGAGGATGCAGGTGTCTATCACTGTGTCGCGACGAACGACGTGGGGTCAATATTTAGCGAAAGAATTACATTCGCGGTAGCGTGTAAGTATCTTAAACGGTACCAATCTTTACAGCATTGCAATCTGTAGAGGAATGGCACGTTAACACGTAACACGAACCCATAATACCGTAATTGTATCTTCAGATATGGGGCTGTTCGAGGATCTAACCGAGAGGATAGTGACCGTGAAATCTGGCAGCGCAGCTGTCTTAACACCGCCACCGGTCGAGAGTCATCCCGCACCTGTTGTCACCTGGGTTATGTCCGATAGATCATCGTTGTACGGTATTAAATACGCATCGGTGGGCCATACGTTACTGATCTTGAACGCGTCCGACACCGACGAGGGCTTGTACAGGTTTGTGTCGAGGACACCGTCCTTCAACAAACGCGTTGTCATCTGTTATAATCTTCATACGATTGATTAGGGCCCGAACCATCAACACGCAATGAGGGAAAGAAGAGTACAGCCCGTTCTTCAAGCTACAGGTCACTGGAGACGCGAACGTAGAGGTGGCGCCAGCTATCATAGTGAAACCGCAGGACACGCAGATAATCAAAGATCAACATGTCACTTATATTCATTGTATAGCAAACGCTAGGTAAACCAGGTTTCTTTTTTGTTAAAGCTGTTACGTATAGAATGGTGTATACTGAATGTTGTTCGGGCAATCACAGATCCCTTCATGAGCTAAGAACTTTGTGGACAAAGGACGGGATACCTATTGAAAACTCTAGGATAACGTATAGCTTTCATGACACTTGGAATAGGACTCTAGCGTTAATGTCCGCGAACATAACTTATACTGGTGTCTATTCCTGTCACGTGGATCTGAGGAGCGGTGGATACCCTACTGTGAATGCTAGTGCAAATGTTGTTGTGTATGGTAAGGACAACTGAGTAACTAGAGCGTTAATTGTTCAGTATTCTTTGATGATCCGTGTAAACCTCCGATTATTAATTGAACGCGTACTTATTTCTCTGTAGAAAAGCCAACGTTCATAACGGAATTAAAAAGAGAGACTCTGAGCGATTATGGTTCAACTGTAACGTTACCGTGCGATGCTATTGGCGTTCCTGCGCCTAATATCACGTGGTACCGCAACGCAGAGTCTGTCGACCATCTTCTTGGATCTAGGTATGATATAATAAAGGATATACCGACGTCCCAAATTGCAACGTTAATTTAATTCATATCTGTATACAGGTACGCGATGGAAGAGGATGGATCGTTGACTATTAAAAAGTTGACTATGAACGATTCAGGAATGTTTCAGTGCCTTGCTTCTAACGAAGCCGGCGAAGCGTCCAGTCATACCTGGTTGAAAGCTAAAAGTTAGTATACCTGTGTGTGTGGGATCCCACATTAATTCCTAATGACTAATTGTTTTTTAATCGTCAGTTGTATGCTCATGTTTGTTTATCAATGACGTATTTTTTGTGGGGCAGAAGGATTAAAAAGCAGAGTGAAAAAGAGAGTTGTCCGCTGGGCAGCTGGCTACAATGTAGTCAGAGTCCGCCAATCTGATCGCCGTTTTAAGTTCTCTCAATATCCAGACAGTAAGATTCCGATGTCACAAAGTACCCACGTTTTTGACATTACCTAGGCACATGCTTGACGAATGCATATATCACACCACAAATGTTTGCTTCCTTCGGCTGTATTCGTGTTTCTTTTGTTTCTCTTTCTCCTAGTAGCTATAGCAAAGACATCCATAAAGCACGGGGATCCTTTTGTGTGTGTGACACACATCGTTCCTCAAACACACATATGACAATAGCCATACTATCAGTTCAAACATATAATACACAGTAGTTATTACTAGTTCTGTGTACGGATAGAGAATATAATCGTTGCAACGAAATCGCACAATGTCAGTGTACCCTGCTTGTTATTCGAATCGATTAGCATATAGAGTTCAATGTACGAATAATCCTGCAAATTATTTTTAGTTTCTGCACTTTTATGTGACAATAGCAGCAAGAATCCGGATATATCATGAATATGCACTTTTTCCTTGAAATCAGAATAATTTTAAAACAAATAGAACGTCCGAGAATCGGTTATGTCCGTAGTTATGTTGGATAATACATGTAACTGAACCGTAGCAATAACGAAGTATCAGTAATAGAAATTATTATTCCTTATTACATATATATATATATAATATTCAGGTATGGGTAAATTCAGTGTTTTCCATTGTTCAATAAGAAAAGAATAATTTACTTCATTAACGTCTCATTATTTTTAAGTAACTTACTGGAAAACACTGAACTGGGAAAAGTTATTTTTTGTGACCAATTGTTTGTTTCTGCCTTTATTTTTTGCGTGCATGCGATAAATCGTCAGTTTTACTGTATAAAGTTATAACATGTTTATCCTGCTGCTTACAGCGTCCGGACCAATCATGGAAAATGGACCCCAAAACTTAACTATATTAGATGGTAAAGATGCAACCTTAACGTGCAATGCTGTGGCAGCTCCAATACCTAATACTACATGGATATATAATGGTAAATAATGAACAATCATATATATTGCAAAAAATATATATTGCATAATCGTATAATTGATTCATAGAAAATATATATTGCATAATCGTATAATTGATTCATAGATACGGTTCCTGTGGAAATCGCCGGAAGAGTACAAGTTTTAGATAACGGGGATCTCTTAATCGCCGCTGTGAAACCAAATGATGCAGGAAAATACACTTGTATTAGAGCGAATGAGGCTGGTTCTGTCAACGGTTCTGCATATGTTACTGTTTTAGGTAAGAAACAATGCTAACAGGAAAATATCTGTAAAATATCATTTTTCTCGCTCGAATTCTATATAATGTTTTATCGATTTCAGTACGAACACAGATCGTTCAACCACCTGTTGACACCTCTGTGCTTCTTGGGTACACTGCGGAGCTACAATGTAAAGTTTCCAACGATCCCAGCGTTTTGTACGACATAGCCTGGTTTCACAATTCACAGTATGTACAGTTGCACATAATTAACAGTATGTAATAATAATATTTGGTTTCGCCTGTTCTACTAGCCCAATAGAATACCCATGATAAAGGTAAATCATTTAATTGATTTCTATAAATGTTAATAAATGCCCGCAGAGTAATAAATACGCATGCCAGTCAAAGAGTCAAAATGCGTAGCGACGGCACGTTGGAAATAGTTGCTGTTCGTGCCTCCGATGTGGGCGATTACATGTGTTCAGTGGTCTCCCCGGGCGGGAACGAAACTCGAACAGCTCGTCTTAGCGTGATCGAGTTACCATTTGCGCCAATCAATGTCATGGCCAGTCGGGTCGAGAAGATTTCACCGCGCACTATAAATGTCAGTTGGGTCCCAGGTTTTGACGGGAACAGTCCCACTAAGAAATTCATAATTCAAAGAAGAGAAGTTTCTGATCTCGGTAAGCTGGCGCAAAGCGTGTAACAAAATACCAACAGCTGAGACTGTACGTATTATTTGTAATATAATTTATGCAGGGCCGATTCCTGACTCGGCGTTGAATTGGATCACCGAGAACGATAACGTCTCGGCGCAGAGTCGTTGGGTATTATTGAATAACCTCAAAGCCGCTGCTGCTTACCAGTTCAGAGTGAGCGCAGAGAATAGTGTCGGTGAAGGGCCACCCTCTGATCCAAGCAACGTAGTGGCACTTCCTCAAGAACGTGAGTATATTACGTAAATACGAATACTAATTGGTACCATTTATGGATATCTTAGGCTTTTATTAAATCCCATATCGTTTTTATTTCAGCTCCAAGCGGACCACCAGTTGGATTTGTCGGTTCAGCTCGGTCATCCTCTGAGATAATAACGCAGTGGCAGCTTCCGTTGGAAGAATATCGAAACGGCCATATATTAGGATATATATTACGGTATAGATTGTTCGGTTACAACGACAGCCCCTGGACTATTCAAAATATCACCAACGAAGCGCAAAGGAACTATCTGATCACCGATTTAATAACATGGAAAGACTATATCGTGCAGATTGCGGCGTATAACGACAAAGGTGTCGGTATGTTCACCGAGGGGCTGAAAATCAAAACTAAAGAAGGAGTACCAGAAGCTCCGCCAACGAACATAAGGGCGAAGCCCATTAACTCGACGGCGATCATGGTTTGGTGGAAACCGCCGAATCCGCAGAAGATCAATGGTATAAATCAGGGCTACAAATTACAAGCGTGGATCACACATAACTCTACCGAGCCGAGCGAATACAAGTCAATGTCAGTGCCACCCAGCTTGTTTGATCCTCTCGCCGAGCAAAGTGCCATTCTGACCGGTTTAAAGAAATACACGATCTATAATGTAACAGTATTATGCTTCACCGATCCCGGTGACGGCGAACGGAGTTCGCCCGTTCAGATACGTACACGCGAGGACGTGCCCGAGGAAGTGGAAAATTTGCAGTTCGAGGATATCAGTGATCGTTCGCTCACGGTCAAGTGGAGTCCCCCGCAAGAGATTAATGGAATTCTCACTTGTTACCAGTTAAAGTATATGATCAAAGATGGCCCGGAGTCTTTGAGGGCAGTAAATTTCACCGCCGACGTTCTCTCGGATAAAATCGAACATTTGCAAGCGATGACCCATTACAAGTTCGAGGTAACTGCTTGGACCTCAGTGGGTCCCGGTAAACCGAAAATCGCCGTCATTCAATCAGGCGTCGAACCCGTCCTACCGGAACCGCCCACTAAATTGGCACTATCCAATATAGACGCGTTTTCCGTGGTGCTCCAATTCACGCCGGGATTCGACGGTAACTCGTCCATAACCAAATGGACGGTACAAGCGCAGACAACTCGAAATACCACGTGGTACAATATATACGAAGTCTCGGATCCTGATGCTAGTACAATCACTGTCGGTGGCCTGATACCGTTCATGCAGTATACGTTACGATTAATCGCTAATAATGTCGTCGGTGCTTCACAACCCTCGGAGCCAACGAAAGAATTCCAGACGATTCAGGCGCCACCCTCGCATCCTCCTAGAAATGTTACGGTCCGTGCAATGAGCGCTACAGAATTACGGGTCCGATGGATTGTAAGTTTTCCTTTTTATTTTATTCCGTTTTATTCGCTATTAATCACCTGTTCTTAACATCATGGAAATCTCACTTGGCTCTTCCCCTTCAGCCATTACAGCAGATAGAATGGTACGGTAACCCGAGAGGATATAACGTCACTTACACGGAAGTAAGGACGAACATATCGAAAAGCATAACCATAGACGATCACACGGCGAATTCTTACGTGTTAGAAAATATGGAAGAGTATGCCCTCTACGAAATTGTGATGCAGGCGTTTAATGACGTTGGATCCTCTGCACTGAGTCCTAAAGCTGTTGAAAGAACTCGTGAATCAGGTAGGGATATACCTATGTGATACATGTATTCAGAGTAAACGTTTTATCGCTGAATATTAATAGATAATTTCTTTTCCCTTAGTTCCTTCTATGGGACCCATTAATGTAGAGGCAAACGCAACTTCTTCTACAACTATATTAGTAAAATGGGGCGATGTCCCTATAGAGCATCAGAACGGACAAATAGAAGGGTTCAAAGTCTATTACGGTGCAAACGCTAGATCAGCATTCCAGTATAAAAACATTCCTAGTAACACTACTTTTACGACAACTTTGACAGAGCTTAGAAAGTTCGTTCAGTATCACGTACAAGTATTAGCTTTTACAAGACTCGGCGATGGCACATTGAGCACACCTCCAGTTAGAGTACAAACTTTCGAAGACGGTATGTGTCATACTGATCTAACTAGTGTTGACGTTCTTTTACGAAATTTAATAATAAATTTATATTATTTTAGCTCCTGGCCCCCCATCGAATGTATCGTTTCCTGATGTAAGCCTCACTACTGCTCGCATCATTTGGGATACTCCGGAAGATCCAAACGGAGAGATTTTAGCGTATAAAGTTATGTTTCATTTAAATAATAGCCAAGATCACCAATTTTCCAAAGAATTTCCTGCATCTGATCGAACATTCAGGTATAACCACGTATATTCCACTCCTCTGTTTTCTCATGTCTTTCGATAACAAGACATACAATGTATATCTTCATAAATTTTTCAGAGCCACTGGTCTGGAGTCAGAAAAGTATTATATGTTCTCTGTAACGGCGCAAACAAGACTAGGCTGGGGTAAAACAGCTTATGCTCTTGTTTTCACTACCAATAACAGGGAACGACCTCAGGCTCCGTCAATGCCTCAAGTAAGCAGATCGCAAGTACAAAGTCGACAAATAACATTCACCTGGACACCTGGTCGCGATGGATTCGCTCCGCTACGGTAATGATTCTAATTCCAAAAGTACAGTTTACTGTTGTAAAATGCAAAATTTACATTTAAAAAAAATCTCTTTCGTAGTTACTACACAGTGCAACAGTCAGAGAATTCAGGACCTTTCCAAACTATCCCTGAAAGGGTGGAGCCAACATTAACGTCGTACACAGCGAACGATTTAAAACCATTTACATTTTATCAGTTCCGAATACAAGCCACGAACGACATCGGTCCTTCAACTTGGAGTACAGAGTCTGTTCAGGTTCAAACTTTACCGGCAGGTACGTAGTCCTGACAGACCTTCGTGAAATTTACTCAATGAATCACACGAGATTTATTGGAATCCGAACTTGCAGCGCCCTCTCGTGGGGTCACTGGCCTGAAAGTTGTACCAATAACAACATCCAGTATAGAGGTTCATTGGAACGCGATAGACGAAGTATACTGGAGTGGAGATCATGAAACAGGTGGCTACCGCGTCATCTATCAGCCTGTTTCTGATTTTCCAACGGCTCTTCAAGATACACCAAAGGAAGAAATTCTAGGAATAAAGGTGATTGATATAGAATTATAAACGGTTGAATGTCATGATTGTAAAATTTATGAATTCTTGTTTTAATTGTAGGCCACGAAAATTGTCTTAAGCGATTTAACCGAGGATAGATACTATGAAGTAGTTGTACTACCTTTCAACTCTGAAGGGGAAGGTCCGTCGAGTCCGCCCGTGACCGTATATGTCGGAGAAGCAGTTCCTACTGGAGAACCGCAACATTTGAAAGCGGAACCGATCTCTTCGACGGAAGTTCAATTACGCTGGAAACCACCTCAAGCTAATATGCAAAACGGAGATTTATTAGGATATAAAGTAACTCCTCTTGTTATCCCTTTATTATTACTTGAAACAGTGTTCAGATATACTTATCTATGATTTTTCATTTCAGATCTTTTATTTTGTCACTGATTCACCACAACAATTAGAGAAGAAACAAGAGGAGGAAATAGAAGTTGTGCCAGCATCGTACTTAACACATAGCTTAGTTTTCCTGGACAAGTATACGGAATATCGTATTCAAGTATTAGCATTCAATCCTGCCGGTGATGGTCCAAGATCTCCCCCAATCACTGTCAGAACTAAACAGGTATGTTTACTGTCGGTTACAGTTAACTTGTGGGGTATCATCTCCCTCGTAAAATCATATTAAACGTTACAGGATATACCAGGTCCACCTTACAACCTACAATTCTCAGAAATTACAATGACGAGTCTTCGTGTTTCTTGGGAAGCACCGAAGTCACGAAACGGCGAAATAATTGGTTACATTGTCACTTATGAAACAGCGGAACAAAACGATCGTACGTTTCTTGAGTAGTTTCAGACATTTCACAGACTTGGCCATTTATGAATAATTATGTGCATTGTTCCAGGTTTCAGTAAACAAGTTAAACAGAAAGTAACAGAGACCAGTTTACTGATCCAACCTCTTGAAGAGGAGGAAACGTATACTTTTATGGTTCGAGCACAGACCATTGACTTTGGTCCACCCATATCTGGGAATGTCACGACCGGACCACAAGAAGGTTCGCCAATGGTACCTAGCAATCTTGCTGTCACGAAAACAGTGTCTAGCGTTGAACTACAGTGGACCAATGGTGCTTCTGGAAAAGGGCCCATTTTAGGATACTACATTGAAACACGTCGAAAAGGTGAGCACATGAGATATTTTTCACTGTACGACCCAAAGTCCGATGTTGCGAGAATAAGTTATCGACACTTTCAAAACACATGGAAAAAATTGCAAGAAAAAAAATAAACGTTCGCACAGATTTCTTTCGTTGATTCTATTTTTGTGTCCTTAATATCTATAAAATTACAGAAACACATTATTTTCTCTACTAATACTATTTTTTTTGTAATGATATAGCAATGGAAGAGTGGCAGCATTGTAAGTGTCAATGCACGTAAATATACTGAGCGTCAATTATTGTGTTAGATGAATCTCTACAGTAAAATATGATTTGTTAGTGTTACAATACGGCTTTCTGTTTGTAATAATCTATGATTATATTTTTGTTAGTGGTATCTCTGTACTATTGATTGCATGATGATGTCATAGCATGACATTTTCGATGAATTCTGTTAGACATACATGAAGAATCGTGACTTTGAATGCCGCTGTTTAATGTAACAAACTAAATAGCTGAAGTTTGACTTGTTAGATAACAGTACTCCTACTACAGTCTTTAACTTACCAGTCCCTACATCTAATATCTCATCAATGCCCTTCAAACATGTAATATAGTACATACAATGTAACAACTTCGCAAGTTTTCAATTTCGATATTAAATCAACAATATTAGAAGAGATAAACAAGATGTTACGTAGAAAGTACCATTAAAACTGTTCACGAAAAATCTTTTAAGACAGAAGATATGTATTGTATTTTTGTTGTAACATACATTGACAAGAAAACCTGCAGAAGTTTCGAACTTCATTCGACATTTATTGTTAAGATCAACCAAGCATTATTTATAAATTTGTGCTTTTAGATGACAGTCGTTGGCAGACAATAGTGCGCAGTAGTAATGGGCCGTTAACGGAATATTCTGTATCGTATCAAAATCTGCTGCCATCCACGTCGTATCTCTTCAGGGTGATATCATACAATCGTTATGGAATTAGTTATCCGGCATATTCTACAGAAACGGTAAATAATATAGTGTTATACAGGAGGGTGCATATAATATATTGTTGCGTGGGTGCAACATAATCTCCAATAATTTACGCTGAACAATATCATAATCAGTATTACTATTATTATAGATATTGACTCCGTCAAAGCTGTACCTTGAATATGCATACCTACAACACAGACCATTCTACAGACAAACTTGGTTCATGGTAACTCTAGCTGCTGCTTCAATTATAATCATCATAATGGTGATAGCGGTGCTGTGTGTGAAAAGCAAAAGTTACAAATATAAACGTAAGTTGTTACAAACATAATCTGGGAACAATCTGTTAGGTGAATATACAATCTGATCGAGAATAATTATTTTAGAAGAAGCACAAAAGACACTCGAGGAGTCCATGGCAATGGACACAGACGACCGACAGGAGTCTGACTTAGAACTTTATAGATCAAGGCAAGGAAGCGGTGCGATCAACCTGGCTAGCGGTTGCGGTACTTTAGGAAAACGGAGCACTTTAGCGAGAAAATCCATGCACCCGCCTCCACCGACGATGTTAGGTAAATCACCTCCTAGACCATCCCCGGCTTCTGTCGCTTATCACAGCGACGAGGAGAGTTTGAAGGGATACGATGAAAATCCTGATGATAGTAGTGTTACGGAAAAGCCTTCCGAAATTAGTTCAACGGATTCGCAGGTAAAGCAGAGTAGACACTTGCTGATTATTTAATGCTTCTCGGAATAAAGTAGCAGCATATTCAATTGACATATATTTTCTGTTTCGTAGGGATCCGAAAGTGAGAATGAAAGCGTCCAATCGGACCCACATTCCTTTGTAAATCATTACGCTAATGTAAATGATTCTTTAAGACAGTCGTGGAAACGACAGAAACCAGTTAGAAACTATTCATCGTACACTGACTCCGAACCCGAGGGTAGTGCTGTTGTCAGCTTAAACGGTGGTCAAATTATTATGAACAATATGGCGAGGTCTAGGGCGCCATTGCCTGGTTTCTCGTCGTTCGTATAAATGATTCTTTTTTATATTGACGAAGTAAAGCTTTTATTAAGTAGATAGGGTGCCGGTTTAGCGTGACGACGCGCTGTTTGAAATCGTTGTGCGATCGACTAAGTTAAAATCAATTTGTGCTGAGGGCAGGATTATTTAATGAAATTGTTGCACTGGGAACGAGATATGAAAATTGCTAGATACATAAGATACGAGACTGGTTGTTGAAATTTTGATCGTTCCCGCGGAGTAGTGGGTAGATTGTTAGAATTTTTTTATAACTCAGCACTGAAATTGATATACACAGAGTTAAAGACTTATGTTGAAACACGTGTTCGGAAACTGTTTCACACGCGCTAACATTTCGTATAGTAATTTTAAATGCTTCTGGCACCACCATGTTGTGATATATTGAGATACATATTATTTATAATGCTAGATAAGAATCGTAATTTGTATAATGAATATTTTTTACTTTTATTAAGTAAATCGGAATCGGAATCGCACGGATCTCGAGTAATGCAATAATTGCATTGTTTTTTTTTTAACTGTAAGATGAACGGTCTGTTCTAAGCCATTTGTTAATATATTGAAAATGCAATAGAGTGAATATTATTAAATAAACAAGGAATGACATGGTAACGAAAACTGCCAGACATAACGAAGTGATTCTTAAAATTAAAAAGAAATAATATTTTGAATACTAAAAATTAATATGATAAACGGAATGGAATCGCAATTCCTATTTAAAAGCTCTTTAGTATAAATTACACGAAGTTTTTTTTAATGCTCCTAATTGAAGACATCGAATAGAAACAAAAAAACTCTAAAATGTTAAGAGGTCAATGTAGATTTATAAAACAATTCACAATCAGGCCTATCATATCAATTTTTAATAACTTTCATATACTAAAGATTTCTGAGTCTGATAATGTTATTGTATTGAATAAATAGCAAACACGCGAATGCTTATGCAGAATGCGTCTGCATGGCATTTCTAATAATTTTAAATGACTTCTTATTATAATATATACTGTACATAAAACCTTACATTAATTACGAGTTAGTTATACATACTGATACATCTGTACATTTAATCCACAGCTTCGCAACGCTAGGAAAATTTCATGCTGAATAATCTATAGGCAACATGTATTTATCTTTCCTCGGAATAGATACTTATCAACTATTTTCATCATTTTTACAAATCAAAAAAAAAGCAATTCGGCTTTAATAATGTTGACATTTGCATATAAAAGTTATGTACAAATCGTTCAACGTTTAGCAGTAATATTAATTCATCTGTAGCATATAATACCACACTTCAGTATTGCCGAACATCATCATACACAATTTTACTCAATTTAGAACGGCTACTTTTTTTTTTACTATAAAACATTACTTATTGTAATTACTCTTCCATAGACGAAACAGATATTAAAAGTGAAGAACATTTCAGACTGATATTGCTACATACATGAAATGTTTTTCTTCGTTTAGTACTGATTTTATAATAAAAAGCCATACAAAGAAAATAAATGAGGTTTAATGATTCTAGAAAAGAATAAACTAAGTTGTGGGGAAATATTCCTCCGAGACAATATGAGCTGAAATTTAGAAATTTGTTATGAAAAATATATACTACGTTGAAAACGAATGATTATAAATAAGTACTCTATGGCAGCTATAGTAGAAAATTGATAAATAGTACTTGAAATTATTCATTTGTTGAATAATTTTCTATTATGATTAGAGATTACTGCTACCTGAAAGTCATGATTAACATGTGTCATAAACTAGATGGCAAGTTATTCGGTACTCATTTAAGCATTTCATTTTTAATATAATTGTAACATTTTACATGTACTACTCTATCTACTGAAAGACTTGCTTTCTAGTTTCAGATAATTATGTAGCGTTAATTTTACTATTCGTTAACATCAGTCGTTATTACCGTCCTGTGTCATAGCGAAGTATCATTCTCTTTTCTCGAAAATTAGGGAACATTTTTGCAACACTGCCAATAAATAATGAAGAATTAAAATACTTCTTCAAACATTTTTATGTACCGATAATATATTTAATCAAAGCGCATTTGAAGCATAATATACATGTACAAGGTATTTCAAATACATGTTAATCTTTTAATAAAATTTATGCAATTTTATTGATAATATGTTTTCGTGGCTTTAATCAATCTTACTTATTTAGGTTTTAAAGTGTTTCTGCTGAAATTAATAACAGAATGTACATATAATAAAAAAGCTTTTTATTGATTAAAACATTTTTCAAAGGCTTCAAACCACTTCTCGAGCTTTGGTGGACACTTTGGAAAGTTTTGTTTAATGGTACTCCATACAGCGATATCGGCTATATCAGGCTCCTTTTTACCAAACGAATTTCTATCTAACTTATCAGCTATTAATGACAGTACATCTTGTTTCTTTTTTAATGTACTTTGAAAGTGTATCGAGTGGCACAAGTCTAATATTGTGTCGATTCTATTTACGTTCTCTAAACAATCAGAATTCTCATAATTGTGCGCATTTATTAACCTACTGATATATCTCAGAAAATTGGTTTCACCATTCACAGGGGAACCATATAGACCAGATACAAGTTCGAGATCTTCAACTGAAAATAAAATGATTTATAAATATCCATTCGTTATTAGTTAAATATTTTGGTATGCACAGATTCGCTTTACCATTTTTCCAGATCACTGACAAATTTATAACATTATTCCTAGGAGAATGTATAACTGGTTGATGAATTAAAGGAACTTTTTCATTGATACTAGAGTGAACATAATTCTGTAGTTTAATATCAATATCGTTCCACACCTGCTGCAAAGCTAATGCTGAATAAGGAGGCATCTTTGGATTCACATTAATGATAAGATTCATATTAACCAGCTCCTGTAAAAATGAAAATTAATACATGATCTTTTCTCAAACTTTTTATTTTAAATATCAACACCATGAATGTTACCTGACTTTCATCATTTTCGTTGACTACCGTAATGTGATTTGGTTGTTTCAATAAATCACAAAGTGTCGACACTTGAGTCTTGAGTTCTGCAATTTGAGCTAGTATCTTTTCTTGCCTTGCTTCTAATGCATCATATTCAGGTAATGGACTCTAGAATAGAACATTCTTTTTAATTTACATGAAGCACTACTTGTTTAGAAGCTAATATTATTATGCACTGTCGAATCGGATTTATAAATTACTTCTTATATGTTGTATTACTGTTTCATAGATACGTTTCATTTCTTCACTCTTTCTAATGCAACATGCTAACATACAACATAACACTCAACATGGCTTATTTGCAAAATAGATAACTTCCAAGTTTAAAATTATTTTTTCCAAAGCATTAAAAAGATGTGCCAACATAATTTTCAAATTATCTGACATCAGTTCTTCCTGTTACGAAGCCCACAATTCACAATACCCATGGATACAATATTCTCTACAATAGAATTTCCATTCAAATTAAAACACCTAATTAAAGCTGTACACAAAGTCCATATATACTATAAACTCAGCATGACAAAAAATTTTCTACAAAAAAAACACAAGAGTCATTGATCATAAATTTGACAGTTGACCAGTAAGATTGTTGATTGGGGACTAATAAACAGCTACATGGTGCACATATTCCACCGGGTTAGGTTTCCTGTGTGTTTGGTTATACAACTGGTACTTTGTAGTTTTCGGTGGCAGTTCTAATTTAGTAAGTTTGCCCTTCTTCTATAATAATTATTTGCGCGTTCCCTGTTATCCTTTGACCGAGCCGGATTTCTCGGTAACCGTGACCGCATAGTGTCCTGTTAGACGAAAAATTGGAGGGGCAGGCATCGATCAAGCCTGCAGAACCATATTCCCGGTCGATCGTGATTAGTGCTTGTGGAAATTTTGGGAGGAGTCATGCACAACAAGCCCGAGACAGAGGAAAGGTTCGCAGCCACCATGCACGAGATACGCGTAAGTAAAAAACCGTTTCGTTATTCGAGCGTAATTACGAAAAACGCGTATCATCGCCCTCGCCAGGTGAACAGAAATGATGAAAACCTTCAAAAAGCTGATAACCTGCTCAGTGATATCGGGCACGATCTCTTTCACGGCTTCCGTATGGTCGTCTCTGGATCGTTCTTCATGAATATTTCGCATTTCGTACATCGTTTTCGTGCGATGCAACGTATCTGACAATGAAACGATCGGTTTCAATGCGTACATCGCAATTTCGTCACGCATTTCCGTTGTCCCTACCCGGTCGATTCGTCGAAAAAAAAAAACCGATATGTAATCCGTGTTCACGTTTCGATCATCGCACTCTCGTTCGTCTCTCGTATTTCTTGATTTTCGTTAGACAGCCATTTTTCTTTCATCCCCCTCTTGCCGTCACCATCGGCGATCTAGTGACGTCGCCACCGACAACGCTCACATCCGCTTCAAAGATGGCGCCGTAACCAAAAAAATTATTTTACCATTTAGGATCAGGAACTGATTGAAATTAACTTTCAAATCATTTACCATCTGTTTTCTGGTAATTTCTTCCATTAAAAACATTATGTTTTTTATGAAAGTTCATTTTTCACAGTTAGTTTTCCGTTGAATGTAAATAGGTTCTAAAGGAACGTGTACGTTTTTTATTAGTTATTTTAACGTGAATGGAAGTATGTATTAGAACTTTCGTGTAGATTTAACCAATTTATCGTAAATAGTTAAAAGCAAAATAGAAGAAGAACATCGTTCGACACTCGTTGTACACAATTTGTCTGAACCATCATTTTCATCGATGGCAACGAAGTATGTATCTTCTTTATATACAAAACTGCATTCCGTACCAAAAACATTGTACATGTTTAGATATTTGAAACTTACGTACATCTATGACAATTTTTATTTTTTCAAAGCTCAATCAGTCTTTATTTAACAGAAACTGTTTTTATATTTGAAAAAATAATTTTTGGTTTATGTTTATAGTTTATTGAATACCAAGTTTAATAGACTACACGTAGAAGACAACGGAAAGAACAAGATTAGGCCCATTTTTCTCACTTCTGTTCTATTTCTACGTTACAACATGCTAAAAACATAAATGATTATAATAATATAATACTATACAGTATTGTGTTAACATAAATGCCGTAATACACCGTGTATTCGAATATGTTGTGGTAAACAGCAGACAGCAATACTGGAAAAAATGATATTTTTTCAAACAATAACGGAATGTTAGTAGCTATCGGAAACGCATATGGAATAAAATAATACAAATATTTCTTACAATATATACATATATTTTGAAATAGTGGCATTGTTTAAAACAGGGGGTATACAGATGGGGGGTATACCTCAACATAGGGTATACAGTATTTGTTTAGTTTTCATATGATAAAATTGTTGTGAGAAATTGGTCTAAAAAAATGAGCATTTGCATAAACATCCACAGTCTACTAACAACAGATACATTAGAAAACCTTGTCTACCTTTTCACGTGAATCATATATTTTCTAAGGTAGATTTTCTCTGAAGACTTATGCAGAAGAAACATTGTTAATTGTAAGATCTGCAGTACAAAAAAAAACGGTGTAAGGTTGACGTTTAAACTTCACCGTATCGTAGTTTCGAACTTCGAAGATGTCGCGTTGGTCGCTGGTTTCTAGGAAGTTAATAGAAGTCTCTTATTAAAGAAATTACGCGGGAAATGTGTTGAAAAATGTTCTCTTCTGAAAATTACGATCATTTTTAATTGCTACGACGGTAGATGTTCAAAAAAAGTATGTACCGACGTAACGATGTACGAGAAATTGGAGTTACGGTGGTGTCCTCTATTGAAGCTTCTCCGGAACTAGAGTTAGACTTCTCTCTTGCGGGTAACAGCGAGTTCGTATCTACGGGTTACATGGGCTAATTAAAGTATTCGTGAATTATAAAAAATCATTGTGTAGTAAAAATAACGAAAACCAAGTGAAAAACGAGAGAAAACAGTTAAGAAAAGGGTGAATTGTGTTTATCGGAAGTGCGGTTAGAATACGCGTTTTTCCAACCGCGCATGTCGCCACCTATTGTTGATCTGACAGGATCTTGTGTAGTTACGGTGAAAGCTATTGGATCCTCTGTACGTTTCGTGAGAAATTAAAAAGCGATTAAACGGTTCCCAGATCGCATGAATCCCATCGAGATACGTTCCCAGAGAACGTGGTCGACCGGTGGATCGCCATAAACGAGAAAAACGGATATTTCGTCGGAGATTTTCTCTACTTTTCGAGTAGATGCGTTCGAGGCCAGACATGGCGGCCATTCGATGAGCCAATTGGAGCATCGCTCTTACAGAGGATCAGATATTGTAAATTCCCCTTACGCTCGCGTCAGTGAATGATTTTTCGTGGATAGTTTCGCCCGTTATCGGTCGGAAAAACGAGGTTTTTTTTTCGTCGTCGCGGTCAGACGATCGTCGGTGGTCCGCCGACGGGATCGAACGCCACGCGAAAGTCATACCGATACGTTTTATCATGATGGAATTGTGTTTGGTCACGTGACCGTAGCCGAAAAATGGCGCAAAGATCAGAGTACAAACATGAGTTCCATTTCATTGCTACGGTGTCATTTGTATTTGTTTACAAGCGCGCGTTTCCACAAACCACGTGTTAAGTAAGTGCCATTTCGTTGACAGCCCGTGACGGACAATGACGGGGAGAGGGGCGAAGAGACGGGGCCGACCGCCCAAGTCGGTGGTCATGGAAAGGCCGAAAAAGTTTCAGTATCATCTGATGAAGAAGCCGAAATATCTGCAAAACAAGGGTTCGGAAACGCCGAACTCGCAACCGAGCACACCGACACCGTCGAGGCCGTCGTCGCCAGTTGAGAGCGAGGAGAGCAGACGGAGCACACGAACACGAAAATCCCGGGGACCCAGGGAGAGACATTCACGTAAGGGTGGTCACTCCGGTTCCGGAGTATACCATCGCCGAGGTTACAATCCTAATGTTGACTATAACGACTCCGAGTATCATTATGGTTCGGATTTCGGTGACGAATCCAGCGAGAAGAGCGAGGCTGAGGAGGACCCTCTGCAGAGCGACGTAGAGTCATCAGAAAGTATAGAAGAACCCGATCCATCGAGTGACAGTGACTTTTCCCTCTCCAGTTACAGCACCACCAGTGGCACACCCCGTAAAACTTTACTCAGCCAACAGAGACCACCGAGTCCAGAACCGCTGTGGCTTCAGAACAGGGAATTGCCAGCTTTGGTCCTACCAAAATCTTCAGACGATCTATTGGTCCCTAAGGAATATGTTATGCCATCTTTGTCTATTTACGAAGTGCTGAGACACTTTCGTACTTTGGTACGCCTATCAGCCTTTAGGTTTGAAGATTTCTGCGCTGCCCTAATGTGCGAAGATCAAACCAATTTGCTGGCTGAGATACACATTATGCTTATTAAAGCTCTTCTCAGAGAAGAAGATTCTCAGCAAACACATTTTGGTCCTCTTGATCAAAAAGACTCTGTAAATGTTAGTTTATATTTTGTGGATCCTATGAGTTGGCCAGAGGCATTGCGCTCTTATGTAGAAAGCGACAAGTGCTTTGATGAAAATATTCTCCACATCTTATCAACTTGTGAATATCCTTTTACCTCGGTCGATGACAGAATCAAGGTGCTTCAGTTCTTAACAGATCAATTTTTGATAACAAATCCAGTAAGAGAAGATCTGTTGCTATGCTTAAATAGATTATTTTTGTATTTTCCTTTCTTTGATATGAATATTTTTTTTGAACATTTCTATTAGTGATTATATGAATTATTATTGATTGCTGTTTAAAACATTCGAGGTCGATAAGCCAGCATGTTCCCTGTACAAAAGTTGTGCAATATCTCGAATATAAACGATACGTAAATATTGCCGGCTGCCGGGGATAGTCTTGGAATAATCTGTCGATCTCGAATGTGTTAACTTTCGCAAGTTTTATTAATAGCTGAGTCAGTTCTAAGAGGAAACGTAGAATTTGTTATTTTAAAATATCTCCTTTGTTCGTTAGTTTATTATTCGTATATATGTGTGATAAATGTCTTCTTTTAGGAAATATGCATTACGACGATCACTGCAGAGTTTGTCACCGTTTGGGAGATTTGTTATGTTGTGAAACTTGTCCAGCTGTTTTTCACTTAGAATGCGTTGAACCTCCATTAGTCGATGTTCCTACAGAGGACTGGCAATGTAGTACATGTAAAGCTCATAAAGTGAGCGGAGTCGCGGACTGTATACCCGATGTTGAAAAGAATGGTTCGTTATGTCGTCAAGAACACTTAGGGTTCGACAGACATGGAAGGAAATATTGGTTTCTTGCAAGAAGAGTTTTTGTGTAAGATAGATTTCGTTGCATAAACATCGAGTAGCGTTAAAGTATTTTCTTGTTCAGTCAATGTGTTATTATTGTATTTATTGCAGTGAAAGCGAAGATGGTGATGTTTGGTATTATAGTACATCTTTGCAACTAGAGGAACTAATGCTTACCTTAGATCGTAATGAAATGGAAGTCGCACTTTATCGCGAGTTATCCGATTACAAAGATGAAATAGTACGACAAATGGAACTCACAGAATCTATTACTAATCAATACAAGGGAAATAAGAAATCCTACTTAGAAGTAGAAAACAGTAAGTTTGAATATATTTCTTTTATTTTCTATGAAATTTTAAGGCACAATATCTAAAACGTTCCGTTAATTTCTTACAATTCAGGCCTTATATTGAAGTTACAAAAAGAACGACAAGAGAAACAAGAAAAAGAAGAAGAAGAGAAAAAGGAAAAGAAAAGACAAGAGGCTGAAGATATGGTGCGCAGAATACACGAAGGTTCAGATTCTCTGGAAGAACAGTTAGCAGCTGTAACGGAACAGCAAGAAACAAAACCAGCCGAAGAGTCGGCTACAAAAGAAAATTCTTCTGAAATGGTAACAGAAAATGTAGAAACAGATGGTGTAGATGCTGATTTAGATGCAGCAAATAAAGGTGTCAAGACTGGTGCATCCACTTCGTCGTCCGAAGAAATTGATGAAGAAGCCTTAGAAGGAGAAGAGGGTATTTCAAAGATTGGCAAAGACGGTAAGTAGTAAGATTGAAAGTTTTTACTAAAAACATAATTCGATTGATTGTTTTGATTAATTTTTCAGGGAAGAAACATACAATCGTGACAAGATCAAAGACAGGATCTTTACAGCCTAGAACATTTAATATGGACGATTTGAAGAGACGCAGCGGAGCACAATTATCGAAAGAGGAATTAGAGAAGCTGGATAAAAGTTTGAAAGAGGAAGGGGATGGTACTCGATTAACAAGACAGAAAGCCCATCAAATCGCTTCTGGTACTCATCTCTTCAAGCTGGGAATGGATAACAACTTTAAATCATACGTAAATCAGTACAGTACCAACCCCGTTGCATTGAACAAAGCACAGCGTAACGAGGAACGCGATAAGAAGAGACACCTGTCGCACAAGTTTTCTCTTACACAAGCGTCTGAATTCAAATGGGTTGGAAGTTTGACGGGAACCCGTGCCCTCCTAGTTAGCACCCTCCGTCAGACGATTCTTCAACTTGAGAGTAGTATTCAAGCACCGTTTATGCACACCAATTGGCCTCTACTGCGTAAGCCTTGGACCACGGCCGTGGGCGCCTGTGTCAATCCCAGAGACTTTGCACGTGCTCTTATTGTACTGCAGGCGTGTATTAAATCGGTGGTTTTCGCTAGCGTATGGCACGATCAACTTGGACACGTGAAACTGCAAAGAGTAACGGCTCTCGAGCGAGAAGAGAAGAAACGTCAGGATAAGAAAGATAAGAAGGAGAGAGAAGACGAGGAGGAACGTAATCGTTTATTCAATTTCGTCAAGTATACGTTAGGCTTGAAACATCAAGTCTGGAAACAGAAAGGAGAAGAGTACAGAATTCATGGACAAGGTGGTTGGTTGTGGATATCTGCTAGTCGCCGTTACAAGCCAGTCGACATGTCCAAGGGTCTTCGAACAGGCCCCCAAAAGATTATGGTTCAGATCAAAGATCAGGAGGGTTTTAAAATATTAGCTTTGGATCCGCCTACATACGAATTCTTAATAAAAGAATACTGTCCAACCGAAAAGGAAGAGAATAACGTAGATGTTAAGATCAAGCAAGAGATCAAGGAGGAAGAATCTTCCAAAGATGCTGCGGACACATCGGTGAAACAAGAATGCAAGTCGGAAAACGTAAAAACTGAACCGGCGGAAGATAAAGCGAAGGACGCTGAACCGATTGCAAAGACGGAGGAGGGAACGACTAAAACAGAGTCGCAACCGGTGAAACAAGAAACAAAAATGAATTTATCATTTTTAGCCGGTATAAAAATTGAGAAGGTGTTCACTCCGATCAAAGAATTTGAAGAGATTGACATTACTAAAGCGCTGACTACCAGTGGAAGGCTCCATTATCCGAAGATTGCAAAAAAGACTAGGATCGATGATTTTCTAGCGCGTCGAACACACTTGAAACTTTTGGAAGAACGACGATTATTGCAGACCGAAAAATCAAAAGAGCATCAGAATCAGTCTACAGGTCAAAAGGTTGAAGGTGAATCCGAAGTTGACATAGAAAATAATGAAGAAAGCGATACAGATGGCGGGGACAATACTTTGCAAAGTATTCTCACTGGAAAGCAACCTAGCAAGACAATATCCACGTCAGCCAGAGAGATGCTGGCTGTAATAGGAAAACGTATTCAACATGCCAAAGCACAATATGCAAACATCATGAGGCTCACCAAACACAATAGTTGCTATTCACGGTATTGCAATATGACAACGCCTCCAGGAAAAGTTGGGACTACTACAACGCAAAGCTTGACATCTACATGTTACTCCCCCATATGTCTTCAGAAAGCCAGATTAAAACGTGATCTTATTACACTATTAAGGAAGGCTAATGCTTTGAATAACAATCAATCATCGGCAAGTTTAGTGGTTAATACGCCTGCGGTACAATCCCAACAGAGTGGAATAAAAATAGAAGGAAGTGAAGAAAGTAAAGAGGCAATTAAAAAAGATTTGGAATCAGCGGTTGCATTGGCAACTTACTGTAAAGAAGAAACTCCTGCTTCGAATGTGATGAAAGACGTGGCCTCGCCTCCCGCGAAGAAAATAAAACTTGAATCTAATACGGACGTTGACAAGGGAAATTCAGAACATGTTGATATAGTCACGACTACAACGAGTAATGTGGTTACTACTACTACAGTAAGTACGACACAACAAACTGTAAAGACAGTAGATGGTGTGGTACAAAGTAAGAAAGAAAATACAACTTCTCAGAATTCAGTTACATTCTCCTCGGAAGTTAAAACTAGCACAGGACAGAAGACAACAATTGTCAATAGAAGAGGCAGAACCGTGCAGAGGAGCACAGTGGCCAAAGAATTGAATGCGGATGGTACAGAAAGAGTATACAGTGCTACTTCGGCAGAAGGGAAAGTTTATTTGAAAAAGGTCTCAATCTCCTTGGCGGATAGAAAAAAGAAGCGTACGCCTGTTAAATATCCTTTGTGTTCTACATTTTGCACAAAAACGAAACACCGTAGTATATTACTACTTCCACAACACGAATTACGAAAATTATCTAGGGTTGGTGGACGCATGCCAGTTCAAGGATTCCATCATGTAGCCAAGGTATATCTCGTTAAATTCACGTTAACAGTAACAAAGCATAATTTGGTGTACTTTATCGACTAATTTAAATTTGTTCTAGGCAAATATGTCAGTTTGGCCATATCCATGCCCAAGACCACTATTTAAAACATGTTGGTTGTATCGAACAGTTGGAATAAAGTCACTGGCTGCTGCAGCCCTTCAGTTAAGAATATTATGGGCATGTCTTCGATGGGACGACATGGCTACAAAGCCGTTGTCCACAGACGGCAAACATCAGATCACAACAGATACAGAAATTATGTCATTAGAGATTCTTAAACACCGACATGTAGGTCAGTTTTTGGATAAAACACAGTACTTACGCCGAAAGGTTGTTATACCTTTGGAACTACCAAAGCAAGTCAGAGGTTGGTACAATGAATAAATCATGTACGGAATGATCATGATTTCTCATTATTAATTATATTTTGGGTTTCGCAGAAGTAACATCTATAAGGAGCGGTCTCAGAAAAAGAAAACGACCGGAATCGCCGCAAAGCACTGAACCACAAGTTACGGAGGAATGGGTCGATGAAGATAAATTAGAGTTATGGGAAATTAAGCAATACGGCGACAGGTATGGTAGTAGAAGATTTTGAACCGTTTTACTGAAATTAAGTTTCCTTTTAAACTTGTCCTTCTTAAGTGTAGTTATATGGCACTTTCTTTTCCATTGTATTTTCTAGATTATTCCATTTTAATAGGATCTAATATGAAGTTTCATTGTGTACCTGACACTTTCGCCTTATAAGATCACTCAGAATCTGACCTATCCTTATTTAACACCATCTGATACTAACCCTCCGCTTGATGTGTGTCCTCTCCAGGTTAGAGAAGGCTAATGCCCAGATTATTACTAGGAGTCGATCGGGACAACCACAATCTGTAGGTGCTGGCTCGAACAGAAATACAGGATCGAATTCCAGTATGGGTGATCAACTTGTTAGTGGTAAAGCAACGCCAGAGGAGATCAAAGAAAAAATGGAGCAACAGTTACGCATGCAAAGAGCTGCTCATCAACAAAAGAGAGCTTTAGAAACTCTAAAGAGTCCAGCGAACTCTGCCTCGCCTACACAACTTGTTAAAGTTACTACTAACTCTGCTCATGGTAAGGCTCAGTTTTATTATACAACCACTTTGTTTGAAACAAATTATCGTTGGATTTGAAAATATTCATTATCTATTATAGACGGCACAGTGAAATTGGTTTCAAAGGTCGCGATACCAGCAAATCCAAATAGCGGAACAAAGTCGCAGTTGACCTCACTTTTGACGACTCCTACACAGAAGACCTTTATTGGTACCAGACGTATTTACATGACGAAATGTAAATATTAACGTCACTACATACAGGGTGTTAATAAAAGTGTGGGGCACTCTTCAACAATTAATAATTCTGAAATGAAATCTTAAACGCAATTTTGTCATTCTTGATGTTCGTCTTAGTTTCACGTCTAGAATCTACCCTGTGAAAGTGTCCCACATTTTTATTAACACCCTGTATATGCATTGTGTAACACTTACCATCGTTTATTCAATATTTTATCCTTGTCTTGTTTCTTTAAACAGCAGCTGACGGTACAACAAAAGTTGTATCCGGGCCTACAAGCATTTTACCGAAAACGCAATTGCAAACTGGAAATCAGCAGTCACTGATCAAAGTTTCTAACCAAGCAGGTATATATTTGAATCGTAAATTGCATTCCGTTATAATAACAATTAAATTTGCGACATCTTTAATCGATCCGATTTTCTTTTACTATGAAGTAGCACCGGTACAACAAATTCAACAAAAGGTACAGATTTTGAGGGGACCAGATGGAAAGTTGCAAGTCCGAGGTCTAATGCCTGGTCAGCAATTGGTTCAAATGCCCGATGGAAAGCTGCATGTGTTGAATACTGGTCAAGCAATCACCACTACCCCGGCACAACCTGCAGCGAACAGTTCAACTACACAGGTAAGCATTTCTAAAGGATAGAAACAGTGGAACGTTCGCATAGTATTATTCATTAATTTATGGAAATTCTTATTTAAGACAAAAACTGCCAGCACGACAAGCGCGAATAAAGTAACAACAGCTAACACCACCGCTACCAAGGCTAGTCCAACTAAAGCATCGACGAATGCAACACAACAAGTGCAGACAACTCAGCAAGCACAAGTACAATCTCAGCAGACTGTACAACAGACTGTGCAACGTCCGGCAACAACAATGGCTATCGCTACGCCTACACAAGCAACGAAGAACGCTATTGTTGTGGCTAATACCGGACAAATTGTGCAGGGCGCACAGGTGCCTAAAATTTATAGTCTATATGAAATATAATATTAACTGTAATTACACTGTAAACAAATATTAATATAACATCTATTACTTTATAAGGTCATATCTTCTGGGGGTCAAGTGATCAGCGGAAACCAAATAGTAGTCACTAATGCTAATCTAGCTCAGCAACTTGCAACGGGCAAAGCTCAGTTAACGACAATAGGTGGTCATCAAGTGGTAATCCGTAGCACACCGACGGGCAATCAAATCGTACATCTAAATTCAGCGAATAGCAGCATCATAGTTAAAAATGCTGTCACACCGACTAAACAACAAGGTAGTACATTCTTTTACCAAATGTGTACATCGAAGAGGAAAATTTGATAAATAATTCTTGAATTAAAATGATTTTTCTTTTACTTTCAGTTCCTGTATTACAAACTGCTCAAACAACTGTAGCAACAACTGGTGCACAGGCATCTGAAACGACAAATGCCACTGTTGGTAGCAATACGACTACAAATACAACAGCGATTACTACGACCACGTCTAATACGACCCCCACAGCCCCAGCACCTGGAAGTGTAGAAGCATCGTTATTAGCTGGTCAACCACCTGGCACAGTCATTAAATGTGTAACTGCTCAAGTCATACAAACTACTCAAGGGCCTCGTATAGTTTTGCAAGGGTTGCAGGGTGCAGACTTCACATCACAGCAGCTTGCAATGGTTCAACAACAAGTTAAACAACAATTACTTAAAGGTTCGATAATATATATGTTATACTATATACGTATTTAACGTTATCAATGTGATTATAATATATGCAACGTTTTTTTTAGCTCAAGCTACTACAGGAAAGCAAGGTGTACTAGGGCCTACTAAAATTTATTTAGCCGTTCAACCAGCACCAAACAGTCAGCAGGCTATTCAAAGTTCTCAAAGTTCTGCAACAGCAAACACTCCTGCCACCACTCCAGCATCGAAACCGCAGGCTGCACAGCAATCAGTTGTTTCACCTTCAGCAGCAACCGGTTCGTATATACGTATAATTTCATCCTGTATATTTAATAAATTTTCATACTTCTGAAATCGTATATTGTATGAGTGATTTTGTGAATAGAACCACAAACGGGAACAGAAAGCATTCCAGAGCTTCCAGCTACAACCACAACAACTTCTCCTGAAAAACCGAAAGTGGTTGTTCAGCAAGTTGGTCAACCGAGTGTTCCCTCTGAAGAGGAATCTCAGAAAACAAGCGTAGCTAATGGACAGCAACCATTGCAGACTTTAAAGGAAGGAAACGACTCTTCAGGCAATAAATTTATTTTAACACCTGACTATATACAACAAAGTTAGTTTGCCAATCAGTTCTGTAGTTGTTTACCCTTCAATATTAGCACGTTTCGATTCATGATTATCATAAAAAATTTGTAGCCATTAAAAATGCCTTGAAACAAGAAAATCTTAACCCGGAAATAGAGGAGAAGCTACTGCAGCTGCAACGATACCAAGAGAAGCAGATGAAAGGCAGTGTTGAGAATTCGGTGGCTACCAGTCAAATTCATACTACACCCCCGGTTACGACTCCGCGAGTCCCATCCCGCAAAAGACCAGCACCTTCTAACATTCCAACAACGACTACGCTGACGAACGTACAATCGTCGACGAACGACCAAGACACAGAATGGGCAGAAACACCTAGAAAGAAACTTGCCCTAAAACAAGAAAATCGTGAAACACCAAAGTGAGTTCTTATTACAAAAAAAAATAATGTATCTATTACACGAACAAGGTATCTTATGACACTGATATATCATTTATTGTTGTACAGAGTACAAAAAGTCGTGGAGCAAACGGACGTTGAATCGACACCGAAAAATCGAGCGGCAAAGCTGAAAGACAGTCAAGAATTACGACGAAAACAACAAGTACATTCTCGAATGCAAGTCTTGTTATTCAGACATAAAGAGCTACTTAAAAAGGATATCCTTAAAAAGAGAGCACTGCTTGAGAAGGAATTACAAATAGACATTCAAGTATGTTATCTTCAAATTTTTCAATCGACTTTAAGAATAAAAGTAAAGAAAATCTATATTGTAAACGTAGCTATATATATGTACATATTTATTTATATTTTAATCGTCCACTACAGAAGGACCTATCGGCGGAACTAGCGTCAAGAACAAAAGCAGAAAGGCACAAGCAAGATGAAGTTAAAGTGGGAAGTGCAAAGCGTAAAGCTAATGCCCAAGTAGCTCAACAAGTTAGTCCTCCTAACAGAGGTGGAAGGCCAAAGAAGTATAAGGCGCAAGGAAGTAGCGCCACGCCACCGGGTGCTTCGACTGCAGCCACCGCTAATAGAATTAAAAAAGAGAAGTTGTATTGCCTGTGTAGAACACCTTACGATGAAACGAAGTAAGTATCAGAGTATGGTAATTCCTGTCATAGTTTGTATAGTTGGTGTGGAATACTTATAAGTCTGGTCTACTTTACAAAACCTTCGTATCGTTTTCATCGACTGTGCTTGTACACTACAACTATCTTTCCCGTAATAGATTCTATGTAGGATGCGATCTCTGTAACAATTGGTTCCACGGAGATTGCGTGGGTATCACGGAAGAAATGTGTAAAACGCTTTCCGAATTCGTTTGTACCGAGTGCAGACACGCGAGGGACACCCAGGAATTGTATTGCCTATGTAAACAGCCTTACGACGAATCTCAGTACGTGAAACGCAAAGTTATCAATATAGTACCGATCACCATTAAATTTTTATACTTTCTGGCTGAGAACAGTACGCAAACATTAATATTACCCTGGATATTTTTTCTTGCAGATTTTATATATGCTGCGACAAATGTCAAGATTGGTTCCATGGTCGATGCGTGGGTATTCTTCAGTCGGAAGCGGACAATATCGACGAATACGTTTGTCCGAATTGCCAACGAAACTCTTCTGTTAATTTCGCCAATATGAAAAACCTCAACACGAAAGACCTTGATCTGTTGAAGAAGCTGATTAAGCAAATACAGGTAAATCGGTAGAAAAAAGTAAAATCCAAGGGAGTTCTTGTCAAAAAGAGAAGGAGTTTAATCTTTGAAAGGCGGTGTCTGAGTCTGTTTTGACCCAGGATTATAGGAACTTCATGCGCCATTCCAGCGTCTGGGTTAGGTAAAAGTAATTGAAGCATATAGTAGTTCAGTTTAGCATTTTATAAGATTAGAATATTTTAGAGAAATTCGTTTGAAAATACGAATTTAAAGTTCAATTCAAGTTTAATTTTTATGAATTAGCATTTGAAATTGTGAATTTGCATAAACTTTCGCAGCCTATTCATCAAAGACGTCTGCGTCCCAAGGATTAAATTCCTTCCCAAAGTATAAAATTCAGAGTGCAAGTCACATTTTACGATGCGTGTTATTAATGTGAATACATTGTTATTAATGTCATGAACGGTAATGTTTAGGCACACAAGAGTGCTTGGCCATTTATGGAACCAGTGGATCCAAACGAAGCACCTGATTATTATAAAGTTATAAAGGAACCAATGGGTAAGTGTATCATAAATTTTATGAACGGGAATTAATTTAGAAGAAACTAGAATCAAGCGAAATTTTGTGTATTCTGCCAAGGGTTCTGTTAGATTCTAAATTGAAAGAGAATTTTGTTGTACTTTCAGCGTAAAATTATACGCTTAGAATAGTTTATTATTAACATTAATTCATATTCGTAATACTTGATTCAATACATTCCAGACCTACAAACAATAGAATTGAGGATAAATGATAAATCTTACAAGAAGTTAAGCGAGTTTATTGGAGACATGACAAAGATATTCGACAACTGTCGGTATTACAATCCGAAAGAGTCGCCGTTCTTTAAGTGCGCGGAATCCTTAGAAACATATTTTGTCCACAAAATAAAGAGCTTGAGAGAAAAATTTTCTGAAGGGAAATAAGCAATCAAACGAGGATGCAGGGAAATACATGTGAGAACAGTAACTGTAAATGAATGGAAGTGAACGAAATATCAGTCGTCATTTAATTTCGTGCAGTGTTAAAGGATCGATCTGTGCCAGTACACGTAGAAAGGAGACATTGAAAGTAGCCATAAGTACGTAAGAATAGGACACATAAGTCCACTATTTATTAGAGTTGTGTGAACAGTTTGATTTGCCTTCGCAAGAGCGAACTTTATTTCAATTGTGTCGCACAGTGAATTTTGGACCAAAACACGTAATTATTTAAACACAACAATTGCATGAATCGGTAGATATTCAAGTAAAAAAAGTAACAAAAAAACAATATTTTTTTGTTCAAAGATAAAAACGATGAATTAGTGTCTCTGATTATACTGAAAATTTACAATGTGTATGTGGTATATTCTTACTTGATAATAACGACTTTTATTGCTTATTTGCATGGAGTTTTCTTTTATCAAGTGAAAGAAATAGAAGACAGCAAAAAGCGTGCAATACTGTTACGTCTACTCTATCCAGGAAAATAATTATATTTTCATTCGGTCTTTTTTTTTTGTAAATACAAAATGGTAATGAATTGTGGTTCAGAATTCACCTGTTGTAACATAAGCATTACTATTTATGTACATCTATCAAATACATGTAATTATGCATGTTATCAGAATAATTAACAAATATATATCAAATCAGTGCCACTGAGCGTTTAGAACAATGAGTTTTTAGTAACCCAACGCGAATCCACGATAGACGAATATAAAAGATGAAAAATCATTCAGGAAAATCACTCGCATGCAGTTAAACAAAAAACAGAGGGGAAATGGTCCAACTGCTGCATTCTTACATTTCATTCAGTAGGGGGAAAACTGAAAAAAACGAATGTTCTCTCACGTAGACGTAAGGAAGTATTTAGCAAGCGCATAATAAATTGTACAAATTTGTTTATTGTGCTCACGAATAACTATTATTATGTTGTTTTATCAGATAAATTTTCTATAAAATTGTTCATAAGTAACACATACGATGTTAGCTCGTAAGAAATGAGCAGGTAAATCCTGTTTTGTACATAATATATCCAAGTAGAAGTGTCTACAATGAAATAGACTATGGAATTTTGTTTTTGGTATATGACGAGAACATGTAGGGAGGATGGAAAGTCAGTTAACTGTGAGAAACTGATTTCGATGAATATATTGTTTATATTTTAGCTATTAAATTACCACTTATAGAAATTACTGAAAGGGAACTGTACTACACTGTACGTGTATGAAAACATACATATATTCGGTATCTATACCTCGAAGAACATAAACAGGCAATATTATTTCATGGACATATATATATATATATGATACGTATACACATACATACATATACACATACCCGTCTAAAGAAGCAACAGAAAGAAACCGCCTCGGATGTTTCACCAGCGAAATACAAAGAGTGAAAGTAAAACAGTTACATTAATTCGACTATCCGCCGTCGGAGATATGGAAATTCTGCCCGTAGACTTATTATTGTACGAGGATCGAAAATATTCTCCTAAGGAAAAACGTTCAACATTTTAACATGTTCTACGACAGTAAGCATTGAGAGCATCGTATCTGTACATTAATTGTATGTTTCACGAGTTCTTTGACCGCGTCTTGTCGGTCGTCGATCATTTGCTTAAGTGAACGAAGGCAGATCGCTCAAAGCAGGTTGTACATTCTCGCCAGGATAATGCTTGTACAGTATTTTTAATTCAAAGTTCACCGAACCTGGCACTGATCTGTTTTTTTTTTCTTTTTACCTTCGACGTTCGATTAATAGTTACAGAATAACCATAGTTCCGTTACTTTGCCCAGGTTTATACACCGCATTAGCTCTACTACTATAATAATCTCGGTCCCCCGAGTGGTCGTGTCATTATTGTTATGCGTCTCGTTACACACGTATATTGGGTGCACCGTTTTATTATGTAATGTACTGGAGAAATTTCTTTCTAAATTCGTATCGTTGGAACGTTATAGTCATTTTTTCTTGTTAATTTGTTACCGCTTAATTCTTTGCTACGACGAGATCTTCTCTTTCTATGGCTCGCAGCGTTCCTCGGCGTTCTGTGTATCTATAATTAAAAGTTCATTACGGATCGGTAAGGAGCAAAGAGTTAAGCGAACGTTTTCCAATGGAGGTTTTTGATTTTGGCCGAGAAACACTCCGATGGATTCACTTTTTGAGATCCACGCATGTCATTCGTGATTCCTCCGTGTTGCCTCGGAAACATATTCGACTCGTGTAGACTTACGAATAAATATTGATAACAAGTATTAATAAGTATTTGCGCTAAGGACACTTCTGCGAGTGGAAACGATTGGCGTCGATCGGAACGTAAACGCCACATACTAGCTTTATTTATCTTCCGAGACAAACGGAGGATGTGTTACTTGTATCTGAAAGAGTGAATCTTTTATTATCTTTCTCGCGAGGCGCATGTTAACTCGTTCATAAGATCGTTAAATACTCTTGAAATCGTAAATGCGTTTATGATAATCTTAACCGGACTGCGATCATTCTGTCGAGGTTTCATTTCTTATGTAGAAACGATATTTGACGATGTATCGGAGTAAAAAGTTTCTTGTGTAAAAAAAATTGTAGAAACACTTTAAGGACATGTATTAGATATTTAGCCGCGTACGTTTTGGCATGCTACTGAAGTGTAAAAACCGGGTGAAGAGATAGCAGCCGTGTAAATTTTACGCTGCTCCATTTTCACTCCCCCCCTCCCCCCACCCTGCTTATTAATCATGTAACAAGGTGTTTATTTCTATTAAGGAAAAAGCAACAAAGTGTGATTACATAACTATATTCGTCTAAATCTAATACTACTAGTTTATAATAAATATATTTGTACTAATTTTAATCATAAACTTTGTTGTTTTTATTGCACTATAAATATAAGTTAGAGGAAAGCATAGTATGTTAATTTACCTTTTTTAATTTGTAATTGCTTACAAAATAATAAACTGCTGTATGACAGTGGCTTCATGGAAACTTGAAAAGAAAGTTATATCAATACCGTTCAATAGCTTATAGGTACGTCTTTTCGTTTCACATACAAAGAACAATGCCTGTGTACACGACCTTTTTTTCATTTATTGTTCGAATAGATGTGGACTTAGTACTTTGAAGTTCAAGCAATACTAGGGCCCACATTAACAGCTGTTTACTTTCTTCTGTCATGGATTAAAACAAAAGTAAGGATATGTCATCCATATAAAAGAATTGCTTATATTTTATTGTCGTTTTTTTAACTTTGTTTAAATGTGTTTTTTATTTAATATGAATTGAAAGTACACGTGTCATGCATATATTGTATACATATGAACTCTTCACACTGGTCACAGTAATTAACAAAATATACAAATTTCTTACAATATGTTGTCTAAAAGTGTATTGTACTCTCTTCGAAAAGGTCCACAACCTCGCCGTAAGTACAAAGTAAATACACATTGAAAGTTCTTGTCAGATGATAAAACGTCGCTATTAATTTTAACACGTAACAGATGAAAATTAAATGATGCTTGCAGAACTTCATCACGTAGCAAAAGCACCTTTACCTGGAGAACCTACAAAACCATATACACTTACTGAAATTCCCGGACCGAGGTCAGAAGCTCTTCTGAATGAATTTTCTAAAATTCAGGTTCACCTTTAACTATTTTCTTTAAATTTCATTCAAACATTACCACTGCTAGTTTAATATTATTACAAAATGTTTGCAGCAAGTAGGCTCTATTCAATATTTCGCAGACTACCAAAGATCTGTTGGCAATTATTTAGCAGATATTGATGGAAATGTTTTCTTAGATATGTTTATGCAAATTTCTACGCTTCCCCTTGGATATAATCATAGATCAATCTTGGGCGCTTTATCATGTGCAGGGAATCAAGTAAATTGACTATTAAGGTACTCAAGTAATTGACACTAATGTGATACATATTTTCAGCGAATAATGGCGAATAGGCCAGCATTAGGATTGTTTCCAGGCTTAGAATGGCCATGCAAACTTCAAGATACATTACTTCAACCGTGTGTAAGACAATGAAATAAGAAATAATGATACATTGAAAGGAAAAGTGTTTCATACACATATCATTTTAATAGGTAGCTCCAAAGGGATTAACATGTGTTTTCACGACTACGTGTGGGGCTTGTTCAAATGAACATGCTATACAAGCTGCATTTATAAAATATGCGGAAAGACGTCGTCGAGGAGAAAACTTTACAAAAGAAGAAAAAAAAAGTGCTCTCTTTAATAAACCACCTGGCTGCCCGGAATTGTCCATTCTGTCCTTCGAAGGTACATATTTGTGCTGAATTAAAAACATTTAATATTACATATTAATAAAATTTGTGATATTAGGTGGATATCATGGCAGAACATTTGCTGCACTGGCATTATCGCATTATAAATACATAACGAAAATTGATATACCTTCTCTTCCATGGCCTATAGCACCTTTTCCACAATATTCATATCCATTAGATGAATGTGAAAAAGAAAATAAAGAAGAGGATGCTAGATGCTTAGGAAAAGTATATTCAATAGATACATATTTTTAATCGATATCTACTTAAATCAATAATCTGCATGTGGGTGTTGTCTTCAAAAGGTAGAAGAGTTAATAGAACAATATGAAAAGTCAGCACCAGTAGCTGGTATTATAGTGGAAGCAATACAATGCGAAGGTGGAGATAGACATGCATCACCAGAATTCTTTCAATGTTTGCAAGGAATTGCCAAAAAAGTAATTGCCCAATATTGTCCTTTAATTTTTATAATATAAGAAAGTAAATTTAAAAATATTAATGAAAGTTTCAACTTTATAGAAATGCATTCCCTTGATAATGGACGAATTACAAACAGGTGGTGGTGCGACAGGACGAATGTGGGCCCATGATTATTTTGAATTAAATACACCTCCTGACATTGTTACGTATAGCAAAAAAATGCAAGCAAGTGGATTCTATCATTCTTCTGAATACATGTAATGTCTTCTATCATTTCAGCATTTGTAATAGGATATATTCTTCCTTACATATTATAAATTTTTGTCCGTTTAGGCCTACGCTTCCATACAGAATCTTCAATACATGGATGGGTGATCCAAGCAAGATATTAATATTAGAAGCAGTATTACAAACTATTGAGACAGAAGATTTGTTAACTCATGTCTGTCATGTCAGTAATTATTTACTTTGTAAGTTGAATACATTGCAACAGGAGTTCCCACAAATTATAAACTCTGTAAGGGGTAGAGGTTTCATAATTGCATTTGATCTGGCATGTAAAGAGATGAAAGATAAAATGTTTCATCAGTTACGTTGTAGAGGTGAAAGGAAATATTAATAATGCATATTTAATATTAATATTTCATTGCTAGCATGATAATTACATTTATATATTTATAAACACAAGGTATTCAAGTAGGAGATTGTGGGATCAAATCGATTCGGCTGAGACCATGCCTAATATTTGGAGAATATCATGCTGATATCTTTTTAGAAAATCTTCGTTGCTGTTTACAAGAATTTTCACAAAGCTGATACATTTGTAGGTGATATTTTAATTTGTTATCGGCCCACATATTTGTTAAATATATACATGAACAAAAAATGTGTATGCTTATAATTCCAGTGATCGGAACTAAAGATCGGATACTCTAGTTTAGATTAAAATGTGCGGGAAGTGTCAAGAAATCCCAATAAATAATAACTCTTGAAATGAAGTTTCTAAATTATCCGCAAAGAAATTAAAAAAGTGGACAATTGGAAATCTCGTTCTATATTAAGATCAGATTCGTTTCGATATATAATAATAGGAAATCAGTGCAATTTGAAGTATAAAATTATGTACATCCAGTCCCCTAAATATTAGCTAGTAAATTTATTCAATGAATAGCTAAAAAATGCAAGAATTACAGAGCTATTATTCTGATTGAATATATAAAATTTTAGTCTAGAAAATAGGCATTTGATATCGAATATTCGCGTATTTAGTTGATGCAAATACAGAACACAAACGCATGTGTTTTAATTTAATTATTTCTGGACAGTCTTTATTAAGAATTTTATTATATGATTCTATCCTCGAAAAAACTTGAGGACCCAATCTGGGAAAATTCGAATGTCGCGGTTACAATCTCGTTGCCGATCAAGGACCAAGAATATCGGTTTCCGTGTACAAAGGAAATCGATATCGTCATGGCGGTAAAGGAGCGGCTCTTCCGTTCAGCTTGATTGGAAATCAAGATTATTATGGCTGAGATTTTACATTACATAACGGAAAAGTGCATTTCCATTGAAGTGCATTTTTCGCGGGGCTCAGTAGCATCGTAAGCGACGGTAAAGACGGGACGGAAAACTCAACCCCCGGAGCTTGTGTCTAGTGAGAGAAAACGAACGGATTGACATTGTACACCCGACAATCGCAATTGCAGTAGCAGCCTCGGCCACACCGAAGCATAAACAATCACCATGGCGAAGTACGAAGATATTGCGTAATCCCAAGCCTTATCTAATTATAGCAGCGTAGAAAATGAATCTCTAATTCAATGATAATGCTTTGTTTACTATGCCACGCTGCACGCTGAATCACACTGTTACACTTGATTCACCGGTCATTCTTTCGGCGGCATGTCCCTTTTCAAATCCTTGATTTTTGTCAAAGAGAATGCTGATTTTAAGTTGGTGTGAGTTTGTTAACCGTCGTTAACTGAAAATGTTCTCAAACACTTCATTTCCTTCTTTCACAGTTGTGTAGTACCCTCTGTCACATCAATCGACGAACATGCATTCCCTAAAATACATTAGTTTCAAAATTATACATTTCTGTCTTTACTGTAGTTATGATTTTTTTTTCACAGATTTTTAACATGTAGATGCATATATACTTGTAGATGTAATTTATTAATAGTTACAATGTAATGAGTAATTACGTTACTTTTTTATACTTGTTTATGTAGAATTTTCTTTGTAATAGTTTGTAGAAAAATTTTTCTTTGGTTTCTTTGCATATCAGTTATTAGTTTTAAATAAGTACGGTATATGCAAAATACGCTGTAAATATTCGGCAATGCTGATAATCTCTGTTATTATGCAATGTCTTTGCTTTTATGAATATAAGCAATTGTACATGAGTTATATAAGTATCAATAAAACATTTTCAATGAGTTATTTCATATTTTTATGACAGAGTAAAACTCTGTATTCTTTTTCTATACTTCACTTCTACTTGCCTTTCTAAGGATTGCTACATCATAGTAAACCCAATGTATTTCTATATTGTGCGTGTTAGTGTGTACACAGCATTCAAGGGACATATACTAAACTGTAATCTTATCTCATTTATTTTGCTATCGGTTACTGGCGCAGTTAATCAGTAATTCTTCGACCACGATTGTTTACTTCATAGACTCATTCTTATATCTGAATCAAAGGGAGTAACAGACATTAATATTATGTCTGTGATTTTCTAAAAATGAAAGTTGATATATTTTCACGATTGTGTATAGAATATTTTTATCAATTACTCCAAGGTAAGCTAATTCTTTTACAAAAGAAAATATCATCTGATTCACAATTATATATAACCAGTAGAGTAGTTTCATATAACTTATATTGTTTTATTCTTAAACAATGCATAAATTAGAAAGTAAATACATTTTTTGAAGATGACTCTAACACGTTGTTTCTTTTTTTTTTTAGAGAGATGATGATAGTATTTGTTTATGACACTGCAAGGTGTTGTAAAGAAGATGATGATCCTGCAGAGGCAGTTATGTATTTCCATCCTGCATGGGTGTCTCTTACCCAAAGGCTAGCATTAGCAGGTCAACTAATGGCAATTAATCAGTTTCTTACAACCTCGTTTTCCGCTCCAAAATCAATTACGCTACAGGGAGGAAAGTTTGTACTGAAAAAATTTGGACAGTACATTCTTGTAAGTCTATTATTATTGAAATTTTATTTTCTCCTTTAACAGCATACATTTAGGGAGACTAATAAGTATACGATATTACGGAGATTTGCATGGTACAACTTTATAGTAGTTGTTATCTGCTGTAACTATTACAGTTATCAGTTTACTCCGAATGAATGTAACGCGACATCATTTCATTGTTCAACGAGTCATTCTTAGAGTGAGTTCATATTTGATTTATATGATTGTTTATTGTTTTATAGGCAGTGGGAACTGATAGGAATATTCATGATTGGATTCTAGAGAGACGTGCGAATACACTAGAATCACTGCTCAAATTTTTTCATTCTGATCTTAATAAAATATTAGAATCATTTAACAGCGACAGAAACAAATTTACCGAGAAATTGTATCACATGTTTGAAACGTATTTGCCAATACTTCAATATAGTGCCAATCTTTTTTCCAACATACCTATTATCAAACTTCCAAAGGTTAGTGCATGGCATTGCTTTTAGTATTTTTTTTAATAGTAGATGATCGAATTAATTAATCTTTTTATTTTTTATTGCATTCAATTACTTGTTAATATTGAATTGAAATCAATATCATATTTCTTCTAGAGCGCTAGTAACATATTTTTAGAAGCAATTCAAGTTTTACAATATTGCCAAGAAACTAATGGTGTTATGGGTGGTGCACTCTTCTACAACAATAAGTGAGTTATTTAAAATGATCGAAAATCAATTATTCCGTGGTATTTTTTACTCGAAGAACGAATGCTTTATGTTTTATATACTAATGTTTCAGGGTAGTTGCTACTCAATTAGGTGCAGATTTGACCAAACAGATTGTTATAACTGATCCTTACAGAATAAGGGTATATATTAAATCAGCAGAATTTTCCTGTTCGGCATAAGAACGCGTAATATCGATAAACATTTCGTTTTCCAGGCCCCTGCAGAAAGAATATCAACAGAATTTCACTTACCTGTTGGAGTACAATTACTGCGAGTGTATATAGAACAGAAACAGTTTGCAAAACTTGTACAAGAAGCAAACAATGAACGTTATTACAGCTCGTATTTAGATTCTGTCACGAAAAAAATGTTGCAGAGAAAGGTAAAGAACTCAAATACCCACTAAATCATGGAGTATCCTACTAAAAAAAAGCTGAAGAATATTATATAGAGTCAGGGATTAAAAATGCATATTACGTATAGTAATGCAACAACTGTATTTTCAGAACATTTCGAAGAACAGCAAAGAACCGCCTCTGTCTGGAATGAAACGCGATACTTCTCGTATTTTCACTGTACCCGAAGAAGGCGAATTAGACTCTTCGCAATACAACGACAACAGTCATTACGTGCCATCCGTTCCGCTTACAGCTTACAGTTCGCCAGTGAAACGTAAACAGGAAAGTAAACCAGACCGTCCAAAGTGCGTGAATCCTTTGACTCCTAGCGTTTGCTCCACGCCTTTAAAAGATGTAAACAGAGTCTTACATGGTAATGCTATGTTAATATGTAACACGAACGAGGAGGATGGAAATGTTGAAACAGAAGAGGAGAAGAAAGAAATGAAAGCGAATGTAGACGACATTCCGGACGTTGTTAAGGAAGCGCTTAGATGTAAACGTTTAAATAAATTGAGGAACGTTCCACCGAAAAAGAAAGTGATTAAAAGTAGGGAATTCAATAAAAGGAGCTTAAGTGTACACGATTTGGAATCGTCTGTAAATTTTTGTTCGAACAGAATAGCGATTAGAGCGTATGGATTAGGTTTACCGCAGTTGAAACAAACCGTGTCACCTGAAACTTCCCCTGAAAAGAAACCTGCGTATAAGAAGCAGCACCATACGATTACGGACCCTTGTTATCCCGTGTTTCGATGCGATGGGCTGCCAGTATCAATGTCGTTGTACGAACAATACATATCCTCGCATTATGGAGAACTGACAGACGACAGTAATAACACGATCAATCGCAACGACTTTTTCGCCAGTTTGACCGATCGTAACGCCAAGAATACGACAATTAACTGTGATGCCACGAGCAAAGACAATTTAGAAGAATTAAGCAACACTCGCGAAATCAAGTTGGACAACAAATCGAAACAAGAAACTTATCGTCGATCAATGAGCCTGCCTTTGAAACCACTTAATATCACTGACAACGACGACAGACGAAAATCGGCATCCGAGTGCGGTAACACGTACGATTTTCTACAAAAGAAGAAATTGGATGGTTTACAGTTGACACCGTTAATGTCGAAACTTAGCTTGCTCGCTGATGAGAAAACTAGCGGTTTTTGTAGTAGAGAGACCACTCCTAGCGAGTTCCGTGATTTATCGGGATTTTCGACGGCGACGAATCAAATAATTAAACAGAAATTAGACGCAGTCAATAAAGAAATGGGAAGCGACGGTGAGGATGAACTCGAGGAGGATTGGGTCACCACGTCTAAAGATGAGATTTCCCTTGAGAAAACTGAATTATTTCTCTGTGGACACCAGAACATGGTGTTGGTATTGTTAATGGAAAATGGAACTGCTAATAATCCTGATCTTATACACTCTCTTGTGAGTAGACAATCATTTCTCAATATTTCGTATGCCATCTCGAAGGACTGTTAGTTAAGTTTTTATTTAACCATATACGTTACAGTGGCAGACTTGTGTGAATACTTTAGGAAGACTTGAGACTAGGCTGCAACAGTGCCTAGAGCCTCTACCATCGAATGAAAATAAAGAGTTATATAGTATTTTAAATATTGATCCACAGTGGGACACGATAAACCGTTCTGGTCTATGGGGTGTTACTGAATTGGATATTGTATCCTGTCTTCATGATCGATTCACTCATGCTAGTAATCTCACGGATATTATTGTCAGGTAATTATTTTAGAGATTCAAAAACTTCCTCGAATTAGTGATTTTGCATATTTATCAGCTTTAATTTGCTTTTGTAGACAATAAGATAATTCGTTATTTCGAAGGTAAAGTTGCGAGTCTGCACAAACTTAATTTCCCTAGAGAGAAGAAAACCACTTTGACAACTAATGTAAAATGACTTTGTACTGATTTTATCCACGAATCATGCCATTTATACTATTTATGGTAAATCGTGCATTTAGCTCAGATTCCGCAACTTTATCACTAGAACGACAATATATATAAGATAATATTCTTTCCTTAAACTTTTAACACTCTTGATTCTTTCTTAATAAAACGTTGTTTATAGTACATTTTTACAAGCATGATAAAAATGCATATGTTTTATTAATTAACTAGAACGGAGGATACTGTTGTTTATGGTAACCAGTGCGGAAATATAGAGGTATTTTATCAGCAAGCAGTGGCACCAAATACCTCCGGAGGACTTCCGACTCCTGCAGATTTAATGGGGATTGTGTCTCTTAAAGCAAAACGTAGACTGGAAAGAGATCATGGGATTGTGCTATTGTAAATTGCAATTATCCGAGAAAATGCTTCCACTGTAATGCTATTTGTAATTCGATTGTTTGACTTTAATACTTTGTTTATTACATTCCGTGGCATGCCAAATTCATGATATTAGATCATATTTTGTACATATTTCTTTGCATATAGTAATAGTGAAATTCATCGCGATGTTTTGATAATGTTAATTGAGAAACATTCTCTTTACCTTGTTACTCAATAACACAAGGGCATTAAAAATGAGAATGAAATTCTTTAACTAGTGATTAGCATGTAACAGTAGTCGAACTCTTCTTATTATAACAATGACTTTTGAATAATCGTGTATAGACGTCATGTATACACCAGAATATGTATGCAGTTAGTATTATATTTATTTTAAAAATGTCCACATCCTGGGTAAGAAACAGTCAGTTCAAATTTTCATATCTTTTCAAAATTCCGGATGTCGAGCACCCCATTAATTTAATCGACTAAGACTACTTTTACGATAAAGATATACATACATACGTGAACGATATCGATAGAAAAATAATTGCCGAATTTTCTACGTGTATTTTTGTAATCAAATTCACACAGTACCAATCATAATTAATTTAAGAATTGGCTGTAATTGAAAACTTTTTATATCACTCATATGTATCAACCATACATAATAAATAATATTCTTTGCAACGCAATAAATCATGTATTTTAATACGAGGTTAAAAAGTTTTAGTGAAGATATTTATGTGATGATAAATTTTATATTAATTGCAATTTCATATTTAGGAAAGTTTTTTATTATATATGGTTTCAAAATTGTATAGATTTATTCACAACTATAGTGGAATGGCATGATACAACAGATACTTTTCGAAATCTAAGCTTTCAGTGTCTTAGATAGAAGACAAAAAATTCTAGTATTTTACTGCTACGTCCAAATTAAGTGATAATTAGTGTTAATAATTTATTTGTGTATTTATTAATCATGTTATCAAAAGGTAAAGATTTTTATTACAAGTAGATATAAGATGAGTGCTATTGTTTATTGTTTGACATAATCAATGTTATATAAATGAATTCGTATTGTATGTATCGAAAGTATAATGATTTCTTTGGATACAAATATATGTGAAAAGCATCTAATTATTTATTTATACAATTGATAGAAAAAAATGTTTAATTTGTCATTGCGACTGCATTAAAATACATATATTATTACGAAAGAAGAAGGTACATCACAAAATAGTGTATAACATACTATGTCAATATGTTAACACACGTTTTTTGCCACCGAATCAATTTATACAATTTTAGCAGTAATCAGCTATTATGTAGCTGCTTCTAGTTTTTAGATACACTATTTAAATTAATTTCTTAAAACTTTTCTATAAAATAAGGTTGTTATAACATTTTAATAATTCCTGTTATGTACTTACAATTGTTACTTTATATTGATTGTAACACCATACATCGTTTAAATATTGATACATACTTTTCATATTGTATTTTCAATCATTCATTCTAGTCATTTGTATGTATATCGCCATGAATTTCGAACATTCCGAATTTATTTCTTAATAGTAAGATAAAGATCAATATTATTTCCGTAGATGAATAAATAGACGAATCAAATCCACTAATCAATTAAACTGTTTCAAGTATTAAAAGATTTCAACACAGAATTCTGCAATAAACTTATTGTAATAACAATATAATGTTGATATTTTTTATATTAATTATGGTAGATAAGATGAAATGATACACACTCGACTCCATTATTTTATTGTACAATTTTTATGGTTCCCTAATATTTTGTTAAATCATCGCCATATAGAATAAAAGAAATGATTAATTATCGTATATATGTTTTTATTCCGATGTTATCTGTTAATTTATTTACTTTATTTATGCTCAAGAATTTTCAGAATTTTTATTTTTCTTAATCAAAACATAGTCCTGTTGCAAACTGAAACGCGTATAAATTTGTTATGAATATTTATTATGTATGCAGTAAACATTGTTTTTTTCCATGACCTCAGAAACGATGGAAATGAATTGAGCCGAGCCCCCTGGTTTTACCAGTTTCTTAACATGTTTATATCCTGCCAGTTTCTCTTCATGCTTAATTTATATTAATAGGGCACACCTTTTAAACCAGAATCTAAGCGCCTGTTGACGCAAAACCAATCGCGTTTCGTCATCTAGAACGGCGGGCCTCCACGAGTGGAAAATTTTACTCTGATCAAGTCATTACAAATTCTTGCAACTACACTACGGATGATTAGACAGATATAAATTTTTATGAACTAACTTACAGAAACTGGGATCAAAAACAAACTTGTGTATACTATGGAGGTCACTGTCAGATTTTAAATAAAATAAAAATCTTGTTAAACTTAATATTCTGTTTCTAAACGCATCGGGTCGGGGAAAAAAACATTCTCCCGTCACAAAACATCGATGCGTTTGTGTTGGTAATTGTAAAAAAATTGATGCATCAGGATGACCGTAAAAAGAAAATTTTTTTGAAAAATATTAATTTGACCTTTTACTAGTAAGAGTAAACATTTATGATTTATTTACTGCTTCATGACAGTTACTTCAGCTATGTAAAAAGTTGCATAAAAATTTGGTGGTAACAAGGCACTATTTAGGAAACGGAGTGGCGTACTTGATTGGAAATAATGACCTCAGCATGTGATCATTTCAGAGACGAGCCCACTGTCCGAGAAGTGTCAGGTGATCAAATCGTGCAATGATCCTGAAAAACCTGCTTTGATTTACGATCTGCAATTCTAGAAAAATGCGACACAAACAAGCCTCCGTGGTCGACCAATCAGCGACAGGGATACCGATCAAAGATTTTGACGCGCTTATATTTAAGGAAGGTAAACCAAGCGATGAAAGCTACTAAAAAGAGATCACCAAGAGGAACTATATCACACAAACTTTTCGCACGTGTTGATCATTAAAAATGGTAAGAGAACTATGCAGCTGTATATTTTATTTATTCCTACTTTTTTTTTATTTAAAATTATCACAATTGTATCTTATATCTAATCTCAGCTTCACCTGTCTTTAAACCGCATGCTAATCGGTAATAAGAAGTAAGCATTTTAAACGTTAACTGATTTTGTAAATTGTACCTTAACATCTACGTTTACAACGTTTTTTACCATTTTCAGACTACGTATACAGATAAAGGCCCTAAGGTGAGAAAAATCTTGATAGATTAAAATTACAAATATTGAAGCACGTATACAATACTATTTTTGAATTTCAGCCTTTGGGAGGAAAATTCTTGTGCTTCGATCACATAACATTTTGGGTTGGAAATGCGAAACAGGTAATTAGAATGAAGTACTTGTGTTGTTGGTAAAATAATGTTTTACAGTTATGATATTTATATAGTATTAAATAAAATATAAGTCCCTTTAATATTATAGGCTGCTACATACTATTGCACTAGAATGGGCTTCGAACCTTTATGTTATCGTGGTTTGGAAACTGGCTCAAGGCATGTAGCATCCCATGTTGTTAAGCAAAATAAGGTACATGAAATATTTATTGCTTATCAAATTGCTTTTAGTAGAATATAGAACCATATAATTAACACGTTGACTGCCACAGTGGAAAAGGCAGTACGTGGCCAGACACACTTTATTTCGTTTTTTAAGTCATAAATCTTTGAAAATATATGTGTTTGATTAATAGAGATTGCTTGTCTTGTTTTAAATTATACTGTGATATTAATAATTTTGTAGAGGTATTAAAATAATCCAGCATGTTTGCAATGTTTCAACTACGAGTTATTTCGTAGCTGGCAGTCAACGTGTTGAATACCAATTAGAAATTTGCTAAAAAGAAAACAAACAAACCGGTATACTCTCATTTTACCTACAGATTGCCTTTGTATTCGAATCAGCTTACAGACCTGACAATGACGATATGGGAAATCATGTATTAAGACACGGAGATGGTGTTCATGACATTGCCTTCAATGTTGAGGACATTGATATTATTGTAAAGGTAAATGGAACTAACTCAATTATTTTAAATCAAACAAATATGCTGACCTTGATTTTATAGATTGCCAAGAAAAAAGGAGCAAAGATAGTAAAGGATATATGGGAAGAAAAGGATGAATACGGTGTTGTAAGATTTGCCACTCTAAAAACTGTAAGTATGTTATACATAATGAAGTGAATGAAAAAGTAAATAAAAACAATATTTTAACAAACATTGCCTATTAGTATGGGGATACGCATCATACGCTCATAGACAGATCAAAATATAAAGGATTCTTCTTGCCAGGGTATCAAAAACTACCAGAAGATAGATTTACGAAAGACTTGTAAGTTCCATAAAATAAGACAGTTTGTATGTTAATCAAATACACGAGCTTCGTAATAATTCGATTATTTATTTAGACCAAAAGTTGGATTAAATTTTGTGGATCACATTGTCGGTAATCAACCTGACAAACAAATGGAGTCTATCGCGAAATGGTATATTACACAATTTGAAAATTATTAAAAAAAAAAAAACAGAATTGAAATAGAATCTGTTTGTACAAATCCTGATCCACTGTAGGTACGAGGAATGTCTACAGTTCCATCGATTCTGGTCAGTAGACGATACTCAATTGCATACAGAGTATTCTGCTCTGCGTTCTATTGTTATGACTAATTGGGAAGAAACTGTGAAAATGCCTATTAATGAACCGGCTCCTGGCAAGAAACGTTCTCAAATACAGGAATACGTCGAGTACTATGGAGGAGCAGGTGTACAACATATTGCTCTTAACACAGGCGACATAATTAAAGCCGTAAGTTAAATATATTTTGAACAATCTTCTCTTAAACTTAGGTAGGATCAATTTTTACTATTACATACACCGTGTATTATTTTCCAGATACAAAATTTGCATGCTAGAGGTGTAGAGTTCCTGGATGTACCGGACACTTATTATGATATGTTAAGAGATCGTTTGAAGGCTAGTGGAGTGAAAATTTTAGAAGACCTTAATATCCTTCAGGTATGAACATTAAGATATTATACGAAAAATATTATAATTAACAAAAACTCGTTAACGATAACATTTAAATATTATGCTTCTAGAAATTGAAAATATTAATTGATTACGACGAGGATGGGTACCTTCTGCAAATATTTACGAAAAATATGCAAGACAGACCAACCCTTTTCATAGAAATTATTCAAAGGCGTAATCATAATGTAATTATCATAATTCTGTACATTAAAATTTAATTAATTGTTTATAATCGAGAATATGAAAAATTTCATTTCATTTATGCTATAGGGATTTGGAGCTGGAAACTTCCAAGCGTTATTCGAAGCTATAGAAATGGAACAAGCTAAACGTGGAAATTTGTGAAATGATGTAAATAGTAATCGTAATTAAAACTAAACATGAATATGTACAGACATTTTGCACTTAAGAGATTTATATAATAAAGTTTTATTACAAACGTAATAAAAAAAACAATGTTCATTACTTTTACTTGATGTTATAATCATTTAATGTCGCACATTGGAGAATGGAAACTAACAGTACATCATTAATTTCAGATGTGTTGTATTTAATGGCCAATATCTGTTTTACAAAAATACACACAGCATAATGGTGTAAATATGTAACAGTACAATTTCAAGCGTAATAATCGACCATTAAAATCAAACATTATATAATGTTACATTCTATTGTATTGTGATGTCAATATTGTAACAGTGTTATCAACAATAGACATATTTAAGAATTAAGAAACTCAGAAAAGCGAGAGAATTGTTAAACTGTGTCTATTTTTAATATTTTTCCTTTTTGTGGCCAAGGATATAAGCGAATATTCTTCATATAAAAACTGTAGTATCTAGAAAGAATGGGATAATACGTGATGACAAAAGATTTTAATGATAGAGTAGCTCACTTATTCCAATCTCTGGAGATTCCATGGCTCAGATGACTGTCTGCCATTAATTATGAACCTGCGCACACTTTTCTTCATGCGGTATCATGAATGCCAAGGCGGAAGATGTCGTGTTGACAGAAGAATGAATTCCCCAGTGGCTTCAGCACAAAAACCTGTGAGAAGGCATGTGGTGGATCTTCATCTGCCTGTAATAAAATTGTAACTACATATTATGTGAATACTGTAAACAAGAAGTGTTAAACTTTACTTCGTTTTAGTTGTATAAATTGATTGTGTATGGAGTGAGTCAGCTAATACTGAAATATAGATAAAACAGTACCCAAGAATAAAATTTCTTGAAAGCACTTTTACATATAATTCTATAAAAGTTTGACTTCAGTATTAAGTGACTTGTACTTTGCAGAGATATTTAATGTACAATTAGTTCGTTATTCGCTAAGGTAAATCTTATAATAATAAAATACAATCAATTAAAAAAAGTGACTTTGTTAACAATCATGCAGAAATTATGCAATGTTGCACAAATACAATGAAAATTAAAAAATTACATGCTATGTCGATGGACTCACCATGATATAAAATTTAGAAAAAATTCTTTATTATTATGTCTGTTAATAATAATACGTTACTATACTTACTCATTATAACTTTTTCCATTAATGCTCTCTTAATTCGTGTAAAAAAATTTATTATACTTTTCTTTAAGTTTTTTTTTGTAAAAAGAAATTTAAAAAATTGACATTATTCCTGTCAGTTCAGCAATTTAAAGTTTTCCATGGTATATTTATAAAATTATACTTTGTTAAATGATAAATGAAATAAATGAATATGTAATAAGTAGTTTGAAATCATAATATATGGTTCAAGTAACTTTGATAAGATTACCACTACGGGTGATGCAATACAATCAAAGGAATTGAAGTGCAAAATTCTTATACTAACGCTAATTCTAGCAAAGAAATTATTTTACAGCATATATAAAAGCAACACGGCAGAACGTAAATGTTTAGACGCGAGTTAATGACAAGCAGGCATACTCTGACAAACACGAAGCAAGTTAAGACACTAGAAATTAGTATCGGGCTTGCCTGTACTGGTACAAAGATCAACCGTAGATCGGTACCTGACGCCTAAACCGTGTCGTGCAGCGCAAGTCTGAAGATGTCATGCTGCACGTAAAAGCTGGTGCCAATTGGCTTCAGGACAAATGTCTGGATGTATGCATGGGGCTGATCCTCATCAGTCTGCCCAATCATCAACAATCACTGACTGAATTTTCTTATTTCATCTTCTTTGCGGAGGTAGGTATATAGAGAGATTGTTGCTGGACATTAGTCATAGCTCAATCTCTATCTTCGTATGGCAGCACAAAAAATGTAAGGCAGTACAGTACACATTTGTGTAGCATGTCCAGCCAATAGAATATAACGTATGGACGAACAAAAATTATTTAAGGAAAGAATCAATATTGTAACTGAAATATGATCTTTGCTCAGAAAAATATATCGTATCAAGCGTAAAACGAGGACGGTAATAAGAAATTAAATTACTGAACCAATCGGAATAAGAATTTTGCACGTAATGGATTATAAAGTATTTTGTACGATGCAAAATGTTTATTATCTGTGTATGTGTACGATGCTTCAGAAAGGCCGTTGTTATTACTAACAAAGAAACTTCACAATTTTACAAAATTACAATTTTTTTTTTAAATTTTCCAGATTTGTAGGGGACTTCAGTTAGAAGTATTAGGCAATTTTTTCTGCTACTTTTTGGTTCTTCAGCTTTTAAGGTGTCTTTCACTCCAAAGAATTAAAGGTAGCAAAAAAGGATTGCCTGATACTTTTACTGAGGTTCCCTCCAAACTGCAAAGTTTCGATAAAGTCTGCATTTTTGGGTTAGCAAAATTTCCTTGTAAGTCTGATGATCACATGAAATTTGTAATGCCAATTAAGTAAGTGTAAATCAATTTGTGAATGCTTCTTGTAGTTTCTTTGAATGAAATGTAAAGAACTGTCAGCTGCATGAATTATTTAATTTTCATATGATCAGTACCATAAGAGGCATTATACAAATGATATGACATTTCTATACACTTATATATGAAAATTTCTGTTTATATTACTTGTATAAGAATCATAATATGATAACTACTGTTTTTCTTACCTGCAACCTTCCTAAAACATTAATGAGTACACCACCATCAAACATTGGTTGCGAATCAATGGCAGTAATTATCCGATTAATTTTTTGAAATGATAAACTCTGAAAATTACGAGTATGATTAATAATAAGGAAAGGTACAATACTATCTATACTCATATTTATTTGATAATCAAACTTTATTAAACCTCTTATAAATAAATGGAAAATAATAAGTTTATCAATTGTACAACTTTCTTTCAAAGTGCAAAGCTAATCTAATAAGTATACATGCATAGATATAATAGAAAGTAAAAATACTGTCTTGCAACCAATACTTACAGTTAATTTTTCCATGATTTTAATAGCACCCTGTATTTGCAAACCTTCAAACGTCATGAAAGACGACTCGGTCTATAAATGTAACATCAAATATATACACAGAAAAGAATTGCTATGAATGGCAGAGGAAATAGCAGACAGTTGGAACTTACATTATACATATTTATTAAACTTGGTCTCTGTGCAGGATCGTCAAACAGTGCATAATACTGCTGCACGAAACCCTTTCCGATAACTTCATACTGAGGGTTCAATGCCATTATGCTAACTTGCTATATACGCGGCCGTTTTTCGACACCGACAATATCAGTCTTTCCTAATGATTTTGATCGTTCGACACTTTCGTCTTTTACAAAAGTTCTACGACGAGAGTAAAATAATGCTTGTTAACATCCCTCGTGTGAGATACGAGCTAGCAGGAAGCTACTTATGCCGACCAATCATTTCGAGGTATCGAGAAAACCGTCCAGTTATTCTCGAACTCTCGAAAAGTTTAGATATTTGGCAACGATAGCACACGTTTTTGCAGAAACAAGAGTTATATCGCAGAGACTTGCGAATTCAACAATCAAATCTATACAAGATTAATCTTTCTCGCCAAAAACTGATCAACATATTTACGTATAAATAAAAAAAATTAATTTTTTTGTGCCTGGGTGCAATGCCGGTTCGAATAAAATTCTCTATTAAGAAACAATTTTGCAAACGTCATTTAAATCGTGACATACGATTGGTTTATCATCGTTGCCGGATGTCTAACGCCGCGACATCTGCTGATCTGGTCTCAAACGTCGACAGTTCGAGAAATGAAAGTGTGGTTAACTTCCTTTTTTCCGGTGTGAAAAACCGTGAGGTGTGTAGCGCTTGTCATCGAAGAAAGTAATCCAAAAACATCGGAAAATTAGAGGATATTCGATCTTTTTATATGCCGTAATTTTAAACAGTGATAATTCCAATATTTTTGGTCTATTAAGCGTTTCTTTCTTACTCTTATATTAATAACAGGTTTTTAAATATATCAACAAAGATTTCAACTTTGTTTATATTCAGTTGTACTTGATGTTAAATGCATGTTTTAAGGTTTATATGGCGCGTGAAATATTTTTCACACTTTTGTCTTTTATCTTTGAATAATATAAATTTTACTGTGTAAGAGGTCATGGTACACTTTTGGACACAGTGTTTACACAACTACCATTATAATGCATGGCTCTGTGTCCTCTAAATGAGCAAAATTATTAATTTTACAAATAATTAATTCACAAGCAATTTTAAAACAATAGGCAGTGTTTTCTCTTAATATTTAAGTTAAATTTTGTCGTGTTTTTTCTATAGCACATACTTCCAAGATGGTGAAGATTATGAAAACGGGGAAAGTCGTATTGGTCCTCAGTGGACGATATGCAGGAAGAAAAGCCATTGTAATACGTAATTATGATGATGGTACTACAGACAAACAATATGGACATGCATTGGTTGCAGGAATTGACCGATATCCACGTAAAGTACACAAAAGGATGGGCAAAGCAAAACTTCACAAACGTTCTAAAATCAAGCCATTCGTGAAGGTAAATGTAAAAAATAGAAGTATTTTGAATATTTTGAAGCAATTTAGACAAGTCTCTTTTGTATTCATTTTTTCAGATTTTAAATTACAATCATTTGATGCCAACAAGATACACAGTAGACTTACCTTGGGATAAAACAACCACTAAAGATCTTAAAGACCCAATGAAACACAAGAAGATTCGATTCCAGACCCGTGTTAAGTTTGAAGAAAAGTATGTTTATTTTGTTTTCATAGCTATTTCTGAGTCTTTAAAGTATTTGAAAAAATTGTTTACATGATAAATGTTTACTTACAGGTATAAAGCGGGCAAGAACAAATGGTTCTTCCAAAAACTACGGTTCTAATTAATTTTAAATAAACATAAAATATACAAATATTTGAAGTGTAATAATTTTTTAATCATCCTCGTACTTCAAAAAGAAAGACAGTACTTTTTGTTATTGTGTGTAATTGAAAAGCACGATTCCGGTTTATTTTTATTAGCAGTATTTATACATTAATTAGCCTCCTTGCTTGTAAAATATACAAGAATAATTAATTTGTGTCATTGAAAATACTATATTCAAAAAATTGAACAATTTTATGAGACCCTGATAAAAAACATGTTTGAAATGCAATACATTAGTTTTCACACTGGACTGCCAGCAATTCAAAAAGTATTGATAAGTATATAATTTAATAAATATATATTAAAAAAGTTAGTCACAAGCTATAACGAATTTTCAATTTTACTATGAGTTATCACTTTCTAAGTTCTTTAATACGCTCATCCAGTGATTCTATATTATTTTTTATAATTTCTAAGTTCGATGCGAAGCTTTCTTGTACTCCTTTTAAAAGAGACTTGTTGCTGTCCAAATCAGATGTGATTTGTAATTGTAATTCTTTTAAACGTGTTAGAGATTTATTAAATTCAGCAGCTGAAAAACAAATATTAATAGTATAAATCACAATAAAATTGATTGCACGAACATGATTGTATTAAATATATATACCTTGCTGATGAATTGTATTCAAAGCCAACATTCGATTTACAGTTTGTGGTAAAATCTGTGACATAGTTTCAGTCTGTTTCATAATTTCGTACATTTCTGAAATCTGAAAGGGATTTTAGAATTTGTATTTATTTACTTCCAAATAGCACAGTTTTAAGTAATACACTTTATGTTTTTCTTCGTAAATATGTATTTAAAATTAATATTTTACCTTTTGTTCCTGCTCTGAATCCAGAGCTAATGCAGTCTTTTTCTGTGCTATATTATCCATTCTATGGATTAGAGAAGCTAATCGATTTTCAATAATATCCAGTTGATACGTATCTAGTAATGCAGATTTTGCTCCTAATTCTTGAACAGCTTCCATTACTCCTTGATATTTGAGGTTCTGCCAGAAAGTAATTGTGTAATTTGAATTATTACAATCAATGAGTAATTATTGAAAAGAAACTATCAATATGACTACTACAATTGCGGTGTTAGCTGTATCATATCTTACCTGTGAAAATTTCGAGAGTTTATCAGTAGTAGTTCCAATTACACTTTCTAAATTGCATAGTCTTTGTTCAAGTAGAGCAATTCTTGCTGCTTCTTGCATTCTTGCTTTTTCTGGAAGGTACATCATCTGATATTTTAGTACATTAGATTCGGCTGTTTTTTCGGCATTTGTACTCTGTTCCTTTGAGTCAGATTCAGAGGTAAGAGTACTAGTCTGCTTAAACGCTTCTATTTGGGATATTAATTGTCTAAAATATCAATTGACAATTAAAAATTTTAAACAATCATAAAAATATTGTGAATATAACATAAGCAAACTTACTTCAATCTCGTGCCTTGTGGATCTGATAGAACTGCAATTAGATCAGGACCAAGACATTCTTCCAACTTTAAGCAATCTAATTGTTTCCCTAAATCTTGTACTTGAGAAATTATGTCAGCAACAGATTTGACTTCTGATTCATCCTTTGCTTTTTGCTATTTTTTAGTAGCAATATGAAACATATCACTGTGTTTTAGATGAAAATAACAAATAATTAAACATATTTAAAGTGCATAGAAATGATTCTATACCTTTAAATCATTCACTTCTTCATATAATTCTTTAATTTCACACTGCAATCGTTGGTACTTTTGAATTGGTGTTTCATGTTCTCCTTCACCAGGAAGTTCCCAATCTCCAAATCTAAAATATTTGACATATTGTAACATATATAAATCATACTTTCACAATTATTTATAAAGTCAACTTACTTATAGCCTGTTCTTGGTCTGAGTGATACAGAATCTGAAAAATCGACTCCCTTGCTAAGAATATGTTTACCTTTAAATTTATTAAATGCTTCTGTAGCACTAATATGTAATTTTTCTATGGCATCAGTCTCATCCTGAAAGTGAATATGTTTAAAATATTGAGTAAATGTCTGTTAAATGGAAAATGAATTGTAAATAATACTAAGTGCTATACCTCAGGGTACAGTTGAAACTGTTCCGATTCTGGCAAATCAGTTGTTTCATATACATCCACTTGATCATATGCCTATATTACAAACACAATGAGAAGATAAAGAAGCTAAAGAAATTAGTATAGTTTTTCTTTTGTTTTGTGTTGCGAGTAATAACATGATTAACTCAATACAATTGTAACAAGACCCACAAAGTACTTACAATGCCAGGTAAATCGGCATATTTCGGATCGGCCATTTTCGTACAAACGAATTATGAAGTATTGTCACCTTTTAAACACTTTCGCACAACGTAAGAAACCTTGTATTTCACCAACGATTGACAGTAGACAAGTTTTGGTGCTAATATCACGATTTAGACTATTTAGACTGAGTAAAGTAGATGGCAGATTGTGGCAGAATGTCACTCAATTGTCAAGTTTTACGTATTCGTTTATATTTGTACGACTTCCGCGATATCTTGCAGGGAATAGTTGTACTATTCTACACCAGCGATCAAAATATTTGTCCGACAAACGGGGAATCCCAATCGAAATCCCAGAGTTTTAAAAAAATATGGAGAAACACGCAAAAATTATAATTAAAATTGTTTTCTAATGGTGTCAGATTGTCTCTGGAATATCCACTATCAATATTGTGTAATAATAATTGGCATGTATTCTCTTTTATTCAATCCATAATATGTAATATTTTTAGCCACCATATTTCATCATTTTCATTAGTCAACAGAAATGGTACGACAGCGTAATCTAATGAGAGAGAATGGTACCAATTAGCTAAAAGGTTTATTGTAGATGCCGCCATGGATCTATTTGACTATATTTATTATGTATATTGACATAGAAATTATTACAATTAAATACATATACATACATATGTAGTTCTACTTGCCTTGGGCCTTCACTCGCAGCAACCTCCTCGTGGTGAGGCCTGGGCAATCGGTATTGTCATCGGTAAAGTACTATAAACTGAAGACAATATCGAGCTAATGGCTGCGAACTTCTAATCTATCTCATAAAACCACATTCTATATTACATCGAACTAGGATTATTTTAGAAATCGATATGAGATTCAAAGTGTAAAAATGTTTAGTACTTTGAATGTTTTAGAAAAGTATTCGGGATAAAGATGTATGGAACTACTGAAAATTACTTTAGATTCCTTTTCCTTATTCTGTAAATTCTTTGATTGGAATATGAATGTTGCTGGAAGTTTGAACATTTTCACAGGACAATGATATAAATGGAACTTTAAAACTTTTTTAAGTGTTACAGTGATATTTCGTTATATGTTCCATAATGTCAATAATATTGATTTCCTTGCAACATCCACAATTATTACAAATGTCAATATAACGAAATATCTTTTATGCGATGTTTGTGGTGTAATAAAAATCTGTGTTTCGATTACGTTTTTGATACGTATTACTCACTTATATGTAATAATATAGAATAAAAATATACTATTAGTCCGATATTTGAAAATATACATGCGTTCGTTGTCACTGTTAAACTGTTGTAATAACAATGGAATAATAAAATAATTTACTCAAATGTACATAATAATACATATACATATCCATAAAAATAATATTAAACGCAATAACTATTTTGTACGCGAAGAAAAACTAATATAGGTCCGTCGGGATTTGAACCTAAGACTCCTTTCTAATACGTCTACTTTATAGCGAACGGACGGAAGAGAATCCGTTCACGACCATGGTCCCTTCTTAGATTTAACGTAGTTCACAAATTCACCGTTCTCATAACGTACAGGGCAGCAGAAAATCCCTGACTTTTTACACTATCGGTATTTCAGAACATGAGACACGAAGGCCCATAAGATGATAGGTCTATCTTACACCTAGTCGGTGGTCATAGGTATTCGTCCTTTAAATATTAGATACACGTTGTAATTGTTGAAAGTGTCACATTCGAATTAGGCGCTGCGAACCGATCATTAATCATCGTATTAGAGCTCTCATTCCCATTGTCAGTTTGGTCAGTGATCTCCAGACTTGAGGTCACTTGAGGTCATCGATATTGTTATGCGATCATATGTGATCGGAGTGGGGTAAACGAGTGTTTTGACAGTCACTTATTTTACTCCCAGCTATAGGTGCAAGCAGTTGTCAGTGTGCAATGTGACAGTTCGTGTTTGTATTGGAGGAATAAATCTGTTCTTGAAAAGTACGTGGTCTGACAGAGTCCAAACATTTTTTGGTTACTAATTTTTAAGGTTTCGTTTCACCACTTCGTCACTAATTGGAAAGAACTAATAATCTATGACGTATTTCTAAAAGAATTCCAGATCTGGGTTTATGTTATGTTAGCGTAAAATAAATAAAAAGTTTTGTGCTAATTGTTCCCTAAAAAGATGGAAAGCAATAATAAGTTAAGAAGAGCTCCACTCTCAATGAAGCAGAGACTTGAAATTGTGCAGCATCTGGAAAGTGGCGTGTCCATCAGTACACTTGCTGCTGAATATGATGTTGCTCCTGTCACAGTCCGCCGCATTAAGCGAAATGCAGTGACAGTTAGTCAGTTCACCGACCAAGGTTTTGACAAGGGACATAGAAAAACTCTACGAAGGCCAGTAAATGAAGAACTGGATAATCGATTATACACATGGTTTGTAGAACGCAAAACCCTTAGCGAGCCAATCACAGACTTGTTGATGGTAGAAAAAGCAGCAGAACTGAATAGAGAAATTGGAGGGCCATCAGGTTTTAAAGCAAGTAGAGGCTGGCTGTGGAGATTCAAAAATCGCCACGGCATTCGATTATTTGTTCAAAATGATGACACAAGTACAGTAGCTGCCCAACAATTTGTAGAAACTTTTGTTCGGCACTTAGAAGAAGAAGATATTGATAAAGAAAATGTTTATAATATGAATGCAACCAGTCTTTCATGGAAGACTCTTTCTAAGAAAATTTTTGATCATAGTGGGGAGAAAAGAATTGAAGAAAAAAATATGAATAAGGATCGGGTAACTATAGGCTTGTGTGCTAATGTAACAGGAAGTCATAAGCTTGTACCTTTGTTTATTAACAGATTTGAGAATCCAAGGGTCTTGAAATATTGGAAACATCGGCTGCCTGTGATCTATAAAGCCCAGCAACAAGCCTTTATGGATCAAACTGTTTTTGCTGACTGGTATCAGAACTACTTTAAGCCAGATGTGATGAAATATCAATTGCATAATGGTACTTGTGGGAAAGTTGTTCTTCTTTTAGATAACTCCCGTGAATACAATATACAATATCTGGAAGAATTGCAGGGGGATGAACGTTTCCAAATTGTATTTTTGCCTCCAAATACCAGCCACCTGCTGCAGCCCATAGACCAAGTGCTTGAGAAAACGAAAAAGGCCTATCGTCACAAGATGTTGAACAGAGCAATGAGTTATCCCGATGGAATACAAGAATTTTATTCTAATTACGACCTTAAAGATTGTATTCATTTATTGTATGAGGCATGGTTAGAAATGAGTGTCTTAGACATTCAAAATTCGTGGAAGAATCTGATTAAACAAGTCGCTGAAGGAGAACCAGAGAATCTGTTTGAGTCCACCCTAGAGATTATAGACATTGAGGAGCAAGAAGAAAGAACTACAGATTTTTTATCAAAGTGTATTGAAACCAAAAACCATTTCCTTGAGAAAACTGAAAGTTTCTCCAATGGTGATAATCAATCATCGTTGTTAGGTACATTATCCGACAAGGGTGAAATCATAAAAGCTCTAAAAACTCTAATGATCTGGTCAAAAGAGGAATCTGAGATTATTAAGTTGAACGTAAAGTATTTAAAAGATTATTATGAACTTCGGTGATGTAGTATAGCAATATAACAAAAAATAAGTGTGAGTGTAAGTTGTAAAGATGTATGAAATGTATATATCAGAAATAATTTTTGTTTAAAATACTTATTTCAATTATGACAGAAATTATATATACAGAAATGATATATTCTACGTTGTCCAAGAAGATTGAATAGTTTCTATATTTATTGTTTTTAAAACATATTCCTAATTTTATAAAAAAGTTTTGTTAATATTCATATTTAAGTAAATTCAAGGATACTTATTATACTACACAATAATTTATCTCAAATTAATATAATCTTCGCTTTATAATTATTGTTAATTATTATTTAATTAGATGTATATATAAAAAATAATTATACACCTTTAAATTACAATTCTTCGTGGGTAATAGAAAATAACCTTTCTGTGGGGAAGCCCCAGAAGAATGTAGGATATCCTTTCACTTCTCTTTCTCTTGCAACAAAAGCTGAGAAAGAAGAAATGCAATTTCCTATAAAGTAGTTTGCTCTTCCAAGAATTGCTAAATCCAAATGAGGAAATGCAGGTGAATCTTGTTTGAAAACTGATACCTGCAATATACGTAAATAACTTTATCAAGTTTTATTCATCTGTATTTAGTGTATTCCTATGAATATCATTGCACATGCAGCTATGAAACATTTTAGGAAATTTCTTACCTCCATACGCGACAAAGCTTTACTAAGTTCGTCAATCATATAATTATTATCTGATGCTACGAAAACTGATTTGATATTATTACCATTACGAATAACACGTTTGAGTTGACGAACTATTAAATCAAATGATGGTAGACACATGGCAGAAGTTGCTTTTCCTCTTTCATTTCTATATCCAAGACATTGGGGAGCAGCGAAAAGGTTTGGTGTACTCGATATAAATTCACAAGCACGAACCTGTAAAGAATAATTTTATATGCATTCAGTTTTCTGTACCATATTCTGAATAACTGGCATTTCCAGAAATGACAGATACATACCCAATCAATTCCATTACGTAAATGAATACCTATAAAAGCTCCCTCTGGCAACTTCTGTTTAATAAATGCTTTTGCTCTGTTAAGCATTTCTGTATTCCATTCAAGGCATTTGTGTAACCTTTTATTTTCCAGCTGAACAGGAAAACTAGCAGGTGCACCTGTGAATGCTAACACTGGCCAGTTTATTGCAGGATATTGTTTCTTCCATTGTATTGCCATGTCTGTATGATAAACATCATAATGAAGAGGACCATAGAATTCTGATTTAACAAAATCTATTTTGTAAGTGTCCCAGAATGGACCAAATGGATTTCCTTCTTTAGCATTGCAAGAATCTCCTTTACCACGTGCAGAGTAACAGAATGCTGAAATTAATAATATATCTCAGAAGGATATCAAAGAATTTTCTTTAACATCTAAAACTTACATACTCTTTCCTTAGGTTGCCATATTTTTGGTGCAATATCTTCCATAAAAGTTTCCATTAACATTGCTTTATGACAGCTTTGCACTTGTGAAACATTAAAATATGTACTAAAAGGAACTTGTAGCTAAAAAAGAAATTAAGAATATTTAATTACGGAAATACAATTATTCTATGAGATGTTACAAAATTACTAACAGATCTAGTTTCCCCTGTTCTGTATTCAACCCATGGTGGTAGAACCAGAGTACGATTTAATGCTGTTGCAAATCCCAAAGCACCTAAAAAGTGATCAGCTTGATTTCCAAACCGTCCTGAAATACATATAATAAAATGAGTGGCTTAAGTATGTTACACTGGTTTGTGGGAAATATGTTTACAATCTGATGAAAATCCTACCCATACATGGACAGTAAACAATGTATCCATTTGTGTCAATATCAAAATTTTCGCATTGAGAACTGTAAAACTTGGTCAGTAATAAAACAAAGAAAATAATACTAAACATTCTGATTAGGAGTTTTAGTATTCTTATATATAAACGATTTAATATATATCTTTTCCGTTAGGAATACATTTAACTCGCAATATAAACTACTCCGACCACTACTCTATACATTTCATTTGTTACTATGGCTACGTCCATTGACCATTAAAAGGATATATATCCTAAGTCAACTTTTGCATGGGGGAAAAAGTTCGTGGAGGCGCCATTGATCACGTGGGGTAAGAGCGGGGGTTACGGAGCCCCCGGTGGAGGCGCTATAAACCCTGCACGGAGGCCCCGGTGGAGGCGCCATAGACCCTGCGCGGTGAGAGCGTGGGGTCACGGAGCCCCCGGTGGAGGCGCCTCTGTTCACGTGGGCTGAGAATGTGGGGTCACGGAGCCCCCGAAGCATGCTGAAGAGACCCCGTGTGTGTGAGATGTATGATGTACAATTAGAATTTCAACGATTTATAAATAAAAGTACACACGGCTGAACTCAACGATAAATTTATTAATAAAATTATTTACAAAACTTAGGATCGATAAATTAAACATCAAAACTGAACATCTGAAATAATCAATAAATTATTAATAAACTTCAATATTCAAAATTAACGCGCAAAACTACAATCAAGTCCCGACATACATATTTATTTATCGTGTATATCTTATATGACGGATATTGTTTGGAATTTATACATATGTTTATGTTTATATATTTTAAATTTTATATTAAATATTTAAATAAATAGATAAAGTATAGCATTGTATTTTATTGTCTCTCAACGCAGAAACAACTTGTGTGTTGGGTAGAGATGGCGTGCAAAATCACTAACGGTGATTTATCACAGTGATCGCCGAATCACGATCACGGTCGTGATTTAACTTCATTCACGACCGTGATTGCGATTTTTCTATCTTGGGTGAATTTGCTCACTGCGATCGTAAGTCCTTGATCTATAAACAGAAAAACGTATTCAATATGATTTTACGATAATTACATTACTATTCGTGTTTGTAAACATCAGTAGAAAAAACAAGAAATTCTAAAAAAATGATTTGCTAGGTAACATGTAGATTATAATTTGTAATCATTAATTTATTCATTATTCTTCATTGTTTCTACTTATTCCTTCACTTTATACGATATAACCCTAATTTTTGTTTTGATGTCGTTAATGTGAAATATACAAATTATGTATCGCGTGTAAAGAACTGTTAGGTTTCTCCACCAATGAGAAACGATCACGGGAAATCACGAATCACTGAAAAATCATCGTGATTGGGAACGAACGTGATCGAATCACGAGTGATTCACAAGTAGCAGTTCACGCCATCTCTAGTCGTGATTCACGACATGTTTGTGTGTGAAGAAAATGATAGATACGTGCTCTCATTCACACATTTCATCCACCACTGCCATATGCCCGCATGCTGCACGTTGTTGCCCGCTAGTGAGTTTGGCGGGCGTTGAGTTCAGTTGTGATTGCACCAGAGTGCACACAGTGTAGTGAATCGTAGCAGCACAGTAAAATTTTCACGTGACGTTTTGCACCCTTTCTAGGTAGAGCGCCGAATTTATCAATACTAAAGCTGACATAAGCCACTTAAACGATCAAAAGGTTTTCTAGGAAGAACGAGAATTGTTCGGAGTTTAATGAGACGTCTAACGATAGTAAAACATGTCTCACCCTTACGGAATGTTTTCGGGACAAGGAAATCATCAACGACGAAACAAATACGGTAATTAAAATTAGCGAGGCAATTATAAATAATATAACCAATAACGAACTTATGTATTCACGTTTCTAAAAAAATGTCTTGTACTTATTCGACGAAATTTTATTTTATTCATATAAAGTATGATAACTATGAAAATTTGATGATATTAAGATACACAAATACTATCCGTAAGTTCCGTAACGATATCAATGTTGTTAATGTTAGATTTTTAAAGTTAGCAATAATGAAGTAAAACAAATAGACATGATACTTTTATGTAATCTATTTTACGGTTTTGTGGTTACTTTATGGCTGTCTAATGAGTTCAGGAGATAGAGTTGAAAATTCTCAATCCGGAAGCTCACGCTTTGAGCACGAGGGCCATGGAAGAGGTGGAGGACGTCCCCCGTGGTTAAAGGGCAAAGAAATAGGCCTCTATTACAGAGATAGGGGAAAGACAAAGCGTATGGAGAAAGAAACTCAGATCATCAAATTACCAGAAAATATGCAACGCAACATTGATAGAGTATTAGAAAAGTCTAAAGGATTCTATGACAAATTATACAACAATGAAGAACAGGCAGAAAGTACAAATAGCAGATTGGAAAATAAATATACCCATATTCATGATTCGCAATTCAAGAGAAAGTTTTTGAATATAGTGTCTGGTAACATACAAGAAAACATTTCTAAAGCAGTACTTCTTAAATCAGGAATAGAGAGGAATAGTAGTTTAGACGATCAGCTATTAGATGAATATAAATCAAAAGAATCCACAGGAGAATATGAAAGTATGATGAAATTTCGATTGAAGCTACCTGCATATGAGAAAAGATCTGAGATCTTAGAATTGATAAAAGAAAATCAAGTTGCTGTAATAAGTGGAGAGACTGGTAAGTTCATTGTTAATAAAAAATTGTCAGAGTGCTGTATTCAAAAGAAAACAGAGATTAAATGTGTATGTATGATTCTATCGATACACCTACTATACAGATGTATTTTAGGTTGTGGAAAAACGACGCAGGTTCCTCAGTTTATACTAGATGACCAAATAGAGCAAGGAAATGGTAGCATTGCTCGAATTATTTGTACTCAACCTAGAAGGATATCAGCAATATCTGTTGCTGAGAGAGTTGCTGCTGAGAGAGCAGAGAGGCTTGGGAAATCTGTTGGTTTCCATATTAGACTTGAAAAGTATGTTCTTATATTTTTATAAGTTTTTTTTATTTATTAATATACAATATGGTTTCTGTTCGCTTATAGAGTACTGCCCAGAGATAGAGGAAGCATAACATTTTGCACTGCTGGTATGCTATTACAATTCATGCAAAGCGATCCATCTTTGAAGAATTGTTCTCATATTATACTGGATGAAATTCATGAACGTACTACAGAAAGTGACTTTATCATTGCTTTGTTGAAACTAATTATTCCAAAAGTATGCCTATAAGTTAGATAAAGTATAAATATCGATTCAATCGAAATGTTCTTACTAAAAAAAAATATTGATTTTTTTAGAGACCAGATTTGAAAGTTCTTCTTATGAGTGCAACACTTAATTCTGAAAGCTTCTCAAAGTATTACAATGACTGTCCAATGATTCATATTCCAGGCTTTACCTATCCAGTAGAAGAATTGTATTTAGAAGATGTGTTATTACTGACCAAGTAAGTTATCTTTATAACAATTTTTAATTAAGAGCGATGAACACAAGGAATCGTGATAAACATTAATTTGTAGATTTAAGTTTCCTGAACCGTCATCAGCACCCCAAAACTATAAGAAACATTTGAAAAAGTATAAACAAACTCAACGGGATAATGATGAGTTTTCTGATTTTATACATCCATATACTCGACAACTTATAGCTGAGGTAAATTCTTTTTTTTTTAATTCTTTATACTTCTATTGTGTGGTTAATTATGTCTATTTTAATTTAGCAAAAGTTTCCAAAGTCTGTGATTGAACAATTGCGTAACCCTAATAGCGAGAAAATGTCTTTAAATCTTATTGAAGAGTTAATTAGACATATTTGCGTAACAAAAACTCCGGGTGCAATTCTAGTTTTTCTACCTGGTATGATGGACATTATAAAACTGCATACATTAATGGCAGACAGTGGGCGATATCCACAAAGTAAGCACAGCTAAAGTATGAACGTCAAACGTGTTCGTAGGCATCCATTGTAATACTAGTATGTTCATTCAAAATTGTTGTGTGTGTAGGTAAATATATTATCTATCCTCTGCACTCCCGAATGCCCACCGTGGACCAAAAGCTTATATTTAAAGAACCACCTGAAGGTGTTCGAAAAATAATAATTGCAACTTCCATTGCGGAAACTTCTATAACTATCGAAGACGTAGTGTACGTCATTGATTGTGGAAGAACTAAGTTCCTTAAGTTTGATGTGGTTAGAAACATTGAAACATTACTACCTGAATGGGTATCATTAGCGAATGCTAAACAAAGACGAGGTAGAGCAGGCAGGTAAGATTAAAATAATTGGCATATTAAACGTTTTATGTATTTGTATACATTTGTTACTTCTTTCAGAGTAAAACCTGGAATTTGTTACCATCTGTATTCAAAAGCAAGAGAAATGACATTAGAACAGTATCCATTGCCTGAAATGCTCAGGACCCGTTTAGACAATGTAATTTTACAAATAAAAATTCTGCAGTTAGGAAAAGCTAGGTCTTTTCTAGCCAGTGTTATGGATCCTCCCAATACAAAAGCTATAGACTTGTCTCTGGAATTACTTGGATCACTGAATGCATTAGACAATGAGGAGAACTTAACACCTTTAGGATATCATTTAGCACAATTGCCGCTTGATCCACGGACAGGTAATAGCATTATTTTTTAGTGCAGTATATTCAGTAATAAATTTCGATTAACAATAATAACGAGATTCTATTTTCCGTAGGTAAAATGATTATATGGGCAGCGTTATTTTCCTGCGTGGAACCGGTCTTTGCGATTGCTGCAAGTCTGACGTTCAAGGATGCATTCTACTGTCCTCTGGGGAAAGAGGAACAGGCAAAGCAAAAGAAACTCGAACTTAGTATGAATCAATACAGCGATCACATTGCACTGGCTGAGGCATTAAGACGGTTTGAGACTTCCTATAAAAGAGGAAATGCTGGTTATTTCTGTAGAGAATATTTTCTTTCTTTTAACACGCTGAAACTTCTTTCGGAAATGAAAACTCAGTTCGCTCAACATTTGTATCAAATGAAGTTTTTAGAAACTGCGAATTCGAATGAGAGGAATGCGAACAGAAATTCTGATAATGATGCGTTGGTGAAAGCGATAGTGTGCGCTGGATTATATCCAAATGTTGCTGTGATAAGGTATACATGGTTCATAATTAACAAGCAATTAATTTCAAATTTATTAAATAATTATGAATGGAAATTTTTAGGAGAGTGACAAAAAATGGAACGCACGCATGGACACCCGAGGATGGTAAGGTTGTCATACATCCATCGAGCGTAAACGACAAAATTAAAGATTATTCCAGTCCATATATTACATACTTTACGAAACAACGATCTACAGCAACGTATTTACACGATACCTCATGCGTTACTGCTCCAATTTTACTATTTGCTGCTCCAAACATGTGTATAAGTAAGAGAGATAATTCTTTTATTTTCTTATGAAACTTAATTACGGCACGTGTAACAATACTATTAAATTTTCAGAAAAAGAAAAAGGAAATTATTTTATCAGTTTGACAAGTTCCCAAAAGTTTGTTTGTGACCTGCGAACCGCACAACTAATTCAGGTATGACTGAACTAAGAGTTTCTGTATAACGAACTTTACACGGAACGTGTATTTATGTCTGTTTGTTTAATTGCAGAAATTACAAGAAGAATTGAATAATATGTTAGAATATAAAGTAATGCATCCAGGAACAGTGACATGGAATGGCCATGAAGGTAATCTGCTGAAGTAAGTTTCGCAATTTTTAAATATTACTTACTCGTCATGGTTACATTAAAAATATATTAAAATCGTTTGTTGATTATAGTGCGATTATAGATCTGGTCTGCCAGAAAGGTGTGGAAATGGGATTTTCCGAACCCGATGTTGAGGAATGCGAAGATAATTTTTATGATAGCAGACGAACATAAATTAGTAATTTATTTTCGAACTAGTGTAATTAATCATGGCTTTAGGCTACAACAAAATAACTTCAGTAAATTGGTCATTAATCAAAACCCTTTCTGACTGACTTAATACAGTGAATCTCTAGTTACATCTATTTAATACAATTCATTCACTATATTTACGTAATAAAGATAATAGTAATAGCTTAGAATAAAAAAACGATACAAGTATTAGAGTCTTTGTAATATAAATAGAAAATAAATTTTTGGAGAAAAACAGCCTACTATTAGTAGCAGTATAAAAGTTAATACAAATTTATTGTACATTAAGTATTCAAGTCTGTTGCACAGTAAAACGTTTTCAAAGCATCACATTTCACGTTAAAAAAATATGACCAATATTTATAGACATTACTCACTTTATGACACAATTCGCTGACAAGACATCGCTTTGTTATACTTATATGTAAATTGTGGATTATGGGAGGTTAATGATCGGTAAGGAAATGCAGTAATTGATACTTTAGACATTTTGTATTTCATCTTCGTTGTTCACTATTTAATGGAACTACTATATTCTTATGGGCGTAGCCAGGTTATCAAGCGGGGAGAGGGGGGCAAACTTTATCTTAAGGTAAATTTCATTATATTATTTTTCCCCTTAGAGGGGGGTGGGGCATGTGCTTCCGTGCCCCCCTGGCTACGCCCATGTATATTATTGAAGTCTTTTCATTCGACTTAAAAGTTTACATTGTTCTCATGTTATTACGTGACATATTAATCATTGTGTACTGTTGTGTCGACTCTTACATAAACGCTGATTCTAATTAGATCATAAACTTAACGAAAAGATCGAATTTTTCTTAAATTAAAATTATTTATAATGTATATTTTTATAATTTATATTATTATAATTTATATCATGTACTCTTTTTAATAAAGAAACTCAATTTCTAATTCAACTATAGATCAACAATCATAGTAAAATTAACAATAATAAGAATATTAATTGATGATTGTATGTTATAAAATAAAATGAATAAAAATAAGAAAATTATGCATATAATATTTTTTATTATTGTTGTGAGCCAACTTCGTTCCTGAAGGTATATGTACTGTGTACATTGTAATTCACAACATGACCTTGAATGTCTCCGCTAATGCAGATCATTGTTCATATCTTTTCTGGAACAATGTACAATGTTACGTAAGAGAAAGTACACGATCCCATTTAAAAAAAAAAACTGCGATGACCTTCAAATGTCTGAGGGACCTTCACCGATGCAAAGCTGCCCATCCACTGTGTAGTGTCCCCACGAAATTGTTCTACTTTCCTCCGAAACATTCGCTGGCATTACTAACAGTTATAACGCTATTCGCGTGCGTCCGTTAAGATCCGTAGACCCTGTACACAAACGTACAACGTGAAAAATTCATATAATTAGATGTTTGTTTTTTTCTTAGTATCGTAGAAAACTAAATCACAGGTGGTTACCTATTTTCGGGCCCCCGGGAAGAAACGAGTACCCCTCCGTTAGCGAGAAAAAATCTCCCCTCCGCGGTCCGTGGCGGCGGCGTATTCGCGCGTCAGTAAAAATGAGCCCGGGGTCTGGCACGAGCTGATAGCCACCGCGGGACAGAAGTAAATAGGGGGAAGAGAAAGAGGAACGAGCGAGAAAGAAGGGAGGGTGGTCAGGAGGGACGTTCCGGCAATACAGGAGCGGGGCACGTAGCGTCCGATTCAGTCTGCATCCGACCGCCGCGAGTGTCGTGTCGCGAAGCTGTGGTCGAGTTTCTGTCGGGGGGGAACACGAGACTCCGGTCTCAATCGTGTGCGTGCAAGTGCGCGTGATAAGACACACACACACACACACACACACACATACCGGCAGGGTCTCTTGCATCCCATGTCTAGTGTGTAGCCACCCCTAGTCTCTTTTGTATTTTCTTTTGTCGGGTCGGTAATCACCAGGCAGGCGAAAGAAAAGCCGGGTGAAAAATCGTACGGCCAGGCATATTGGTGTTAGAGAGACAGAGAGGGAGAGCGGGTCACTGAACGACCGTACGAAGGTAGGAAGAGAGAGAAAGAAAAATAAAAGGACAGAGAGAGAGAGGGATTCTCGTCGCGACGACGTATATATACATACGTATATACACACGTGCGAGAGCAGAGGAGAGACGTGAACACGCGCGTGCGCGCCCGCGTATCACATACACACACATATATATATATATATATATATACACACGGAGGGCGAGAGAGTGAAAAAGGGAGAGAGAAAGAGAGATAGACAGAGAGGGACGATACAGCGCAGGAAGAGGCAAGAGAGCCAGTGACATCGAGAGGGTTGGGTGTTCCCTCGTGCAAAACCGCCACCGGAATATATGTCGTGAGTGTGCGGCCGAAGATCAGCGGATAGAGGCCGGCGATAGTGCGTGCAGGGCTTTAAGCAGGGAAGACGAAAAAAAACGCGGGGACTCCGGCTGAAAAGCAATGCGGGTTCATTGACTGCGCGCCGCGCAATGGCCGCATGTTCGTGGCCGGTGCACAGTGCATGTGTGACAGGAGCTACGAGAAGGAGGACGGCCAGGCCGAAGATACCGGCTAACATCGAACCGGAAACCTACTGAAGTTTTCCGTCGGGTTCCTGTGCGATCGAGGAACGCGGCTCGATCTCAGCCACGATAAGAACGAGGAACACTTGGAATCTACCGACGTTTTTTTAGGTAAGCGAAAGAATCCTGCATACACTGACCATTTGAATCGTGATACATTTGTCGTTGGTCGTTCTTTCTAGAAGCTTTTTGATTCGTGAGTGATTCTTCATTGATGTTTAGATCGTAATTAATGGATTTGGAACGATAGGGTTGTTACAGCTTTGAAATTGTATCTTTGATGCACGATAAAACCGAAAGTCCGCGGGAATGCCTCGAAAAGACGAATTTTCCAGAATTGACCGGTATAGTGACGGATAAGAAGTATTCGTACAGTGGAAATATGCAGAACTATAGGTTTTATATGATTAATTATACGTGAATATTCGTGGACTAAATATTAATCGAGGTTTTCTTGATTTTTCGCCTGCGTTCGACGGTTATCGCGACACGTAGTACGCGTGCCTCTTTAAGAATTCTCGTCCGCGAAGATTGTCACGACACATCATGGCTGTAGCATCAAACCGACCTAATTTTTCACTTCCACGGTGTTTAATAATCCGTTCCACTTTCGTGACCGGCGTAAATACTCGTTTTAAATTTGAGTTACAAATCGGGCGAACGTTTGGCGGATATCAAGGGCGTAGGGTCATTCACTGGGACCGGTGTTTTCTCGTTCGAAGGTTGTCCGTACGTCACTGTCTTACTCTAAGAAAATATGTTGATTGCGATTCGGACAGTATCAACGCCGTTAAACACGTAAGACCGTGCGGTTATGCTTTTTCATTGAATTTACACTTTTTTGGTGATCGATTTTTTTTTGGTTTTTTATACTGTCTCGGTCGAAAAGTAGAAATTTACCGAAGATATTTCACGCGAGATTTTCGCTGATATTATCGGGGCGAGATACTCGACCGTTAAAAATTGATTCTTTTACCGTCGAGGACGACCAACCGAAGGACACGTACGTGATTCTTGTAGACCTTATCATTGATATGCTGACCTTACCTAAGTAGGATATCAAAAAGAATGTATTTTCCTAATAATATTTAATTGCATGCTTGTTTTTTAATTTTCACCCAAAAACTGTTTTTCGATCGGAAATTTAAAAAACGCGAGATATACGGATGAAAACGCAACGCAGTTGTCAATTTCGAGTAATCAGAAAGTAAACACGATAATGTTTAACAGCAATCAATTGTTTAAATAAATTACATTGAATCGAACTCGGTGATGTCACGCGACGCAGGTTATTGGTATCACGGTTCCAAAATAAGATCCATTTTGGTGATTCGTTCGTGAAGTTTCTAATTTCATATCTAATCAACGAATAGCAGACTTTGCTACGAGTCGACGACACTTTATCATCATGCTCTCTCTCTATTGCTATGGTTCGCTTCTCGAAATTCGGATAAACTAACTAAAAACAGGGGCAGATTGATAGGAGGAAATTCGGATAAGGATTGTGTAAACATGGAGTCAGGGATGGGTAGTGCATTTCGAATCCTATTTTTTCTTTTACTTTTATCGTCTGTATACAGGTTGTGAAAGATTACAGAAAACAAAAGATTACCGTCTGGACGTCAATAAAGAGTTATTGTATTAACAAGGTTCGCAGAATAAATATGATTTACAAAATTGGCTCTGAACGGGATGTTAATTCGATTTCCGCAGGTTGTGATTATAGCACGTCTGCTAGACGGCGATCTATTTCAATTAGATGTATATTTGATTTCTGAAGCTCGAAAACACCGATTACGACTGACGATCGTAGAGCGTTGAAAGGAACAACTTCGCTTTGGAACAAATCCAACCGGCTGACTTGTATATTCTAATCAAGTAAATCAGGATAAGTACGTGTTCTTGCCTCGCTCACGCCGCCAATTGCTAGGTAATTAGTCGGCGAGGAAGCGAAAAAATTAAGTCACACGATCGTCACAGCCGCACTGTCAAACGGTCGTTTGCATTGTTTACGTAACATTTCCTTTGTCCGTGCCAAATTAGTTTCTCCTCGGTGCATTGTCATCCGTTCGCTATTTTCCTCCCTCGTCTCGCGCGTTTAATTGCATGGCAATTAGTTTATTCAACGGTACCAACAATCGTTTTATCCGAGTGAAAACGAGTCTCATTGTCTGAAACGGACAAATAATTGTGTTAATCGGTTTAGAAGATTTCTCCAAACTCTGAAGTATTCGGTACAAGTGAAAAGTATGACCTTGAACTGTCCTTCGTCTTTCCTGTCCGAGTTCCATCCCGAAAAATTTAGCGACTTCTTTGGATCTCGTAGTCCCCGTTTTTTAATTATACATTTTTTATGAAAATATTTTCAAACTATTCGTAACCAGCAAAAAATTATTTAAATGTGACAATCGATTTATGGATTATCCTCAGTACACACTGTTATAGACCCGAAAGTATTTCCGAACACTTTATCTGGCCATAAAGTTCTTCCGAGTAGCGCAACCGTTGTCTAAGCATTTCCAGCAGTATAAATTAAGATGGCGACACCTGTTGACATGCACCCGTCGACAGTTCAGAAACGTAAAAACGTTATTAGGAACGCGGTGGAATGTTAGAAGACAGATTCGTTAGAAGCGTATTTATAAATACCAGATGCAAGTGGCGGGTAATCGTCAAGTGGACGATCCATCGAAATTCAAACTCGTAATCTCGTTTGTGGTTATCGAGTGTTCATTGATTTGACGGTTTAATGGACGAGATCGTTGCTCCCGCGATACGAGACGCTACTACTCGCGATGAGATAATTGCTCTTAATTATCGTATATTGTCATTGATAAAATACACGTCAAAGATATTTTTAGTCTTGCTGCAAACGCCCGGGGAGCCACCATGTATACGTATGTACAATTTTTGTTATTTCTCAAATTTTTCAAGTAGCTTCAAAATGGCAAAGCATACCCTCTCATAATGGTGATCACATACAATATTTTTTCTTCGATGAAGAATAGTTCGATTAAGCAACTTCTTAAGTCTATACATAAAGAATTTCCGTTTTCTATATTGATAACGCGCGTTATTTCAAACTCAGCCCAATAGAAACATCTCGATAAACCGTTCCGAAGTTGGTAGCCTTGTCAAACTTGTTTCTAACCCATTTTTCAAATCGCTCGACCACGGTGTAAACATACCGCATTGAGCTACACGGCGAAAGCAAAACAAAAACCCATAAAAATATCGAACGCCTAGGTTCGCTTGGCCGTGTTTTTTTTGTGATTACGTTGTTGATCGATGCGCGAGAGGCACGTAATAAAGGTAATATTTTCACGACCGAGTACCATTACCTTCCCTAACGTTCTCGATTTCGATCGCACAGCGTCGCGACGAGAGTCGATACTACGAGTACCGGCGTTCACGTCACTCTAGTCCCATTGGTACTAATTTCACGTTCGAAGGTTGACACGCTTGGCGAAATCGCCGCCGCACGAAAGTGGAAACAGACGCCTTCCCGGTAGTCCGAGACACGATAAGCGAAAATCCAGATTCTTTCGAGCAGTTTTCCATGATATCGTTGCAGTCGCAGTTACCATTACTTCCAACCAGCTTGTTGAATGTTTACAAATATAGAATCGCACGGATACAGCGACGGAAATGAAACAGAGAACCGTAAGTGAACTTTTCATTGTACCGAGTGTGCTATAGATTCAAAATTCACCGTTTTCTTACAATGTGAAAGTTTAACGAGTTAGCTCGTTTGAATATTCCTCGCGGGAGGTATGGTCGTTACACGAATTTTGCGAAGCCGAAACCCTGAAACTGGGTCTACGGTCATGCACGGTGTTTCAGTTCACCGTGAATCGTCGGAGGGTTAGGTACTCGGGACGGCGGCCATGTTTATTTCGTGCGACCGTGAAATTCGAATCGCGCGCCCTCCGTCTAATACGAATCAGCTAATTAGGAACACTGTTGGAAATCCTGCGCGTAGATGACCGGTGTGTCGTGTACACGCCACTCATCCGTGACTAATGCTTAACAGTTGGCGGGTGAAAATTGGCGCGATGTAAATATGGGACGAGTTCTCATGAGCGCGGCGTATATCCGCTCGATTTACTTCGTCAGCTTCAAACGCAACGTACACGACCGTTGCACTCGCGCTCCCCCCTCCCCCCCGTCCCGCTAGAGCCCCCTCTACACCCGCCATGTTCTTCTTCGTTCTCAATGCGCGCGAACCACGGTTAAACGGCTAACAAATCTCGCCGATAAATAACGACCATCTACTGGGTGCGATAGCCGGTGATTCTGGTTATGCGAAGAATTCGGAAGCTGATCGACTCGAGGCTGTGTGCGTGTGTGTGTGTAACATGTGTACGCTTAGTTGGACTGAAATAGGTGACCTATATATGTATTTCTGTTTCGTGAAAATCGAACCGGATTTTTTTTTCGCGTCTCGGAAAGAAGCTGATCTCTGAACGCTTCGAACCATTACCAGCATTTTGTATTTACCTCTCGAAACGTTTGTTTGGAACATCGTCGTGTACAATAGAATGTTTCGACGTGCCACGTTTCACCGCTTGACTTCTCGCCTCCCGAGTGAATCACATTCTTGTCAGAACAATAATATACATCCTTTGTTTTTTCTTTCCTCGGAACGACGCGAGGAGGTGGACGCTAATGCGTTTGTAATTTAACGACCGCCGTCACGTGCACGTGACTGAATTCTCTCGATCGCTGTTGGACAGGCCAGTCGGATCCCTTTACGTTTGGTTGGCGATAGACCTCATTCTGGTTACGATCATCGTCTCTGGATCCGTAAATAACGTTCGAAACGTTACGATGCCCGGAGGACTCACGGTTGAGAAGTTGGTAAACATGCGATTGGCCGGTCTACGCAATGGAAGAACGCGGTTTCGGAGCCCCCTTAGGCCCAGTTCCTCTCTTTGGGTGCATTCAACAGTCCACTGCTCCTGATGGTATACATATACATAACCTATAACAATAACTCCTTACGATTAAAATTTTATCAAAGTAACGCGTTGTATGATATATCGGTGACGTTAATTTTTATACAATTCGAAGGTACAAAAGAGGGGTAGGAGGTATGCAGCAGCGTTAAAAATAGCATCCTGTTCGCATGAGAGTGCGCTGTTGTTTGCGCGGAAAGGCGCCTATTTTCACGGAGGGGAAAAGTTCGTTCCTTTTTTTTTTTTTGCCGGCCTCGTCAGTAGTAACGGATCACCTGGCCAGACACGATTATAGGTATAGGTGGTGATAATGGGCGATCATGAATGAACGCGTGAATGCGATCCCGTGGCGCACAGTGTTTGATGGATCTAAATTGCGATGTAAATTGCACAGTATTAACGTTTACGTTGGTGTAACTTGCTGCAGGTTGTTATTGCATGCCTTTAATTCTGTGTATGGCGGAGAAAATTGCCCAGTGAACAGGTCAAGGTGCCGCCACTGTCTTTCTCTAGTTCAATATATGCGAGTCTTTTGATCAGCTTCGGACTAGATAGGGTATGAATATTACAGATCTTACGGGCATATTTGAACCAGTGATGTCAATACATTAAAGACGGCACTATTGTGTTTTGCACACACACATTAACACCAGCATAATTACTGAAAATCGGTAGTCTGTCCCCAATACTGGATTAAGAGGCCCTAGACATTTGAAAGATTTTTGGTGCCCCCATATATGTACATACAGCGACTGGCAAAAGTTTCCGGCCAAAAACTCTACTTCCATCATACCCTTGTTATAACTTTTGGCAATCCTGTCTTTGTTGTGGCACAGTAGAACAGATTATTTTGTGTGCGTCCCGTTTCTTCGATGCCCTATTTATTTCTCTTAATGGTTAATCCAGCCCAGTCGATTCCCATGATCACCCCGTGGAACGTTAAAACGGACCGTAAAAGACTTACAAATCGTTCTCTTCTTTTCCAGATAACGGAGGAAGCTCCAGCCACGTCGCAAGATCGCTTCACCTCGAACGTCATTCGCAGTGTGTGTCGAACATCGTCCCGCAATCGCGAGAAATCGTCCGTACCAAAGAGACGTCTCGAGTGTTCAGGGAACCAATGGTTTCTTGGTCGCTGTGAAAAGAAACGAAAATCTCGAATTTCTCTTCCGTTCGCGCTAGAGAGACGATCCAGGCCAGAGATTCGTCCGTTTTTATCACACGTAGCCGGGACTTGATGCTCGCGAACGGACGCGTACGGCGTGTATTATCGGCGTCGTGTCGCGACAATAATCGAAAATGTACTGTGGCTGATTTGTCGGCGACGTTTCGTGCGTCGCGGTGTTGTATCCTCGTGTGTTGCTCGGCTTGAACGTATTCGGACATCGGGACGTAGTGTGAATATTCGGGCGATCCTCATCATCGCCGTTGTCGCGGCGTTCTTCCAGTCAGTGGTGTTCGGCAGTGAAGCGAAAAGATAAGAGGGGGGGAGGGGGAGGGGGGAGAGAGAGGCGGCCAGCTATAACCGGGAACCACACGGTGGACATGATTATTTCAAAGGATCTGTTCCTCTTTGGCGACCAAGATTACCTGCGCCTTCCCAGTAACGAGAAGCGCCAGCAACGGGCAATGGGCCGACCAATCATCAATGCTCCCAGGTACGTCGCCTGCACTTTCAGTATTTCCTGTTCCGTCGAATGTTCTTTTCTATCTTTAGACGATTATCCGCGATGAAAGATTGTTCTTTCGACGTTGATTATTGTGGAAAATGTGAAGTTGAAACAATTTGGCACTTTTCACCGAATTTTACGAAAACTATTTTCACAAACGAATGTTTATCTTCGTAATTATTGAAGATATGAACTTCGTTTTTGTTTAATTTTAATCATAAAGAGTCGTTCTTTTTAATTAATTTTAAGTTTCATATGTGAAGTTACTTTTGCAATGCAAAAATATTAGAAATATTCATGGTTTGCACTTTCGACACCTGGTTCGACCTTTCTTCTTTAAAATTCATTGTTTTAATTCGCGGAAGCTCTAAAATTGTGGTCGTAGCGGAACGACAAAGGTCGCGGTGTCCGGCATTCAAGATGTCGTAGCGATTTTGCCCATTGAACTAGAGGGAGGAAAGAGCATCATCGAGACGGTTCGATGCGATGGCTGCAAGTCGTCTTGCGCCTCGAAATTATCGTCGATCGTTGGTCGTTGCACCGTGTCGCCGCTTTATCGTTCGCCCCTGTCCGACAAATTTATTTATACGGTTGTTTATCCCGTGGGCGAGATTCAACGAGAACGAGGCTCTACCCGGCTGTTTGCATACACGCGTGCATCGCTGTTTGATCACCCCCTCCCCCGCCCCCAATGGTATTCTTTGTTCTGTCTTGCGATCGACGGCCAAACAATGACGAGTGGATTCGTTAAGCTCGGCAAAGACTCGCGGTTCTTGGAAAATATACGAGCATCTGTTCAAGCTTTCGCGTGATCGCCCCCATTTTTTTGTAGTTTCCATCGCGTGTCCCTCGACTCTCGTCCACACGATGGTGATCCCTTACCGGATGGATTCCCATGTAGATCGTTTGGTCGCTGTGATCTAGACTACGCTCGATTCAAGAATAGTAATTATTGTGAATTGTGAATAGTTACAGAATATTATTCGTCAATCTGAAAGAGTGAAACCGTTTCATGGAAGATTTCACGATGAAATTTCAAGGAAATTTGACATGCACTGTATCCTTAGTGGATTTTTGTGAGTCGTAAGTGATTTACATGATTTACTGGGGAAAAACGCTTTATTCCAAAATTGTATGGTGTAATAATGATGTAAATGGTGATAGAGTCGCAATGACTAGTAGGATTTTCGAAGATTTTTAGATACGAATGACGCTATTCGGTCTCTAGATAAAAATGTAGTATTTGTAATAGCTTATTTAATGAACTGAATTTGATTAACGTCTGTGAAATTCGATAAGGTTCTGGTGTAGTAAACTGGCTTGCGATGTTTTAGTTTCGTTAGAGGGGAATTTATGGTTTTGCAGAAATTTTTTTCAATGTTAGAATGGAATATTACTAACTTCCTTTGTATTTCAAATATTGCAACTGTTCTTACCGAAATGGAATAATCGAACAACGCGCCGCCATATTGAAAACTGTGCCCACACTATTGCCTTCCACAAGATCTGTTTGCTTAAATGTATCTCTCACGACACCGTGTTTATGTTGTATAAGGCGTGCACATTTTAGTCCACGTCTACCACTTCCCCTTATGGGGACCACAGTTTCATTTCCTGGGTTTAAAACGTCCACGAAATTAGCCGTTCCACTCGGGTACCGTAAGGCTCTATCGAACAAACCGGGTTTCGAAACCTCGAGGTAAGGTAATCGATACCGGGAAACGCTTTCGAAACGAAGATCCACGGTCAGACTGGCTGCGCGACACCGGAATGCCAACGAAATGCAGTTTATCATTTCTGCGAAACAATATTCTAAATCTTTGAATTTCCTGCAAGTCAGCTGAAAACCGTTAAAAGAAATTCTTAAGTATGGGTCAGCATAGACCCAGGCGTACGATAGATCTAGGACAAATTCTGTATTTCAAACATAGGTTATTTTCCCGCTTTATGTTTAGAGTGTCTATTCGGAATTTTCTTTGCGATACGCAGAAAAATATCGTTGTTCATTGTCATCCTATTGTAACTTTTATTAAGCAATTAAATGCTTCACCGAGTGTTCCAAAAATTTGATAGATCCACGTCGAAGTTTTCTACGATTTCGGGCGATAGTAAAGCATAAAATCAAGTTCAATAATTATTGTCAATTCGATAAAGACATGAATTCATGAGGTGTTCGAGGCTCAATCGGCGACCAATTGAAAATTTCAACAGTTTCATGGAGCAAGGCTCGATCGACGAGTCAATTCGTTTATCGGCGCGAAATGCAAACTCGGCAACTGCCCTGATAATGGACTGTCTCTTTGCGTATCGTAAATAGAAGGAAGAAAGCTCGCGAAGTTATCGTCGTGTACGCGGGGATTCGCGGTGGTCTCTGATTTTTCGAAAAAGAAGTTTGTAAATCACGAGAGACCAGGCTTTGTTTCTCTATAAACGCCGCCACGGGCGTTGATGACAGTTTTTCCTGTTATCTAACCAGGGAATTAATTTATCTAACCGATATTCAAACTTATTGCTCTGTTATTATTTTTCGTTAAAGACGACGTTCTTTCGATGTCTGCGATTGTTGTCGTTTGCTGGTGTTTATTATTTCGAATCGGGCGAAGTCCTTTTGGGATTGTGGTTTTGAAATATTAAGCAATCAGAAAATGTATAAAAGAAAAACTCGATTTTTTTGACCCGTCGTAGGGAGACCCTTTGGGTGTAAGAAAGTGGGCGTTGAAAAGGAGCAAGAAGGTCTCCTCTACCAGTCAGGTTTTCCCGCCACTCTGAACCAGTTTGGTGGCGAGGGCGAGGAAGCCCGTGCCTCGCGAGACCAGGTCCCTTCCAGTGGGTCACGCATATGGGAAACTGGAACGGTTTCATCCTCCCGAGGCGGAAGACTCGATTTTTCATCGGAGGAGAAACCACCGATTTTTCTTTCGATCGGGCCGTGTTTTCTGGGTCATCTACAGCGCGTTACCGCGAGGCCTAATGGGAAGCGGACACTCGTTAGATGGATCCTCCGGGGTTTGCGGCTTTGCGTGCGTCTTCCTTTTATCACCCCCACCCCTGCCCCGCCACTATTGGTAATTTCGATCGCGGGAAACCCGGATGAGACTCTCCGGATCCCCCGTGTTGACTTGTTCCTTTTGCTGTTCCACTATTCAGGAGGGGAAATTGGAGCGTGCGGTACCTGGGTCGCGATCGTCGATCGTTGCTCGATTGGTCCGATGAAAAGTGGGGAAAGTCGGCGTAATGGATGACTGGAAATTAATGTTTACAGGCTCGGTGGACAGAGATATTGCGTCCAATATCGATAATGCTTATCGTTATATATATTTTCGTTAAATATCGATACGTAAAATAATTGTTCAAAAAGTATCGATATTCATAACATTGATGTTAAGATTCTGTCAATTTACCAATGAAAAAATGAACTGCATATGTTCAAGGGAATATGGTTTTGGATCGAAAAGAATTTTCTAAAATGAAAGTTTTTGCATAGCATTAAGAAATTATTTTATTGAAATTGAGATTCAAAGTATTGAAATGGAAACAAAATAAGTGATTCGATCATAGGAAAACTCTTCGATCATAGGAAAACTCTTCCATCATAGGAAAATTCTTCGATCATTGGAAAACTTATCGATTGCAGGAAAGCTCGTCGATCAATAAGAAAACTCGAATCGGTTCGAATCGAATCCTCGTGCAGATCGGGCCGCGCCTAGATCCACGGGATCGATTTGTCTTGGGTCGTTCCCGGGGAAATCAGGCTTTTGCGTTCGCGGTGTGCACGACCCGTTGGTGTATCCGCACGTAGTTGGAAAGACACGTTTGCGTTTCGCCGGAGCGACCTCTCCATAAAAGTCTCTCTGGATAACTGGGTTCCTCGCGGCGGCGTTACTTCTTGCGGCGTCGCATTCAAAACACGATCTCCTTTCTTTTTCACGTTCGCGGAACGCACGGGTAGAGACCCTTCGTACCACGTTTCTATGCGATTCCGTCGCGTTCGAAGGATACACGCCTCGACGACCGTGCTGCTGGCACTTTTCGATCGTGGAGACAGCACGGATTTTGCTTTACTCGTCGATTCTTCGTCCATTAATAACTATTATCAACATATGTTCATATGACGTTTTTTTATTTATATCAGTGTGTAGATTTACCCCCTGAAAATTGATATGCAGTTATTAATCACCCTGTATACATACACCTAATATTTCGCTTAGACGGAAAACTGGAACGAAAAAACGTGCTCGGAGGCCCGGTATTTCCAGCGGCGGCGGCCTACGGTGAGATGAAATCGAGGACGGTGCACGCAGGCAACCGTGCCATTAAGTAGATTGAATATTACCCTATATTCGGTAGACGCAATCAATAGCCTAGAAAAATGCGCTATTCTCCTTCGCAGTCTCGCCGCGGCCTTGAATGCCCTATCAGCTTCTCGCGTCTAATTTACCCGCGGAATGACGAGCACACAAAGTGTGTTTGTGTGTATATTACGTGTCTGCTTCATCGAGTCGTTTCGGACCGTTTCGATGATCGTCTGTTTTTCAGCTTCGCGTGAAGCCTCGATTCCGATTCGGAGTCAATTTTCTCAACGGTTTTTCTGTTCAGTTTTTCTGAAAGATATGTAGATGGTATATCTTGTGGTAATTACGCAGAGGCAAAGATGCTGCTTCTGATGTCCTTTTGAGTATTTACAAATGTTAATCATAATTCATAGTAATATATAAATTTCGTGGAAATATGACGGAGTCTTGCATAAGAAAACATTGTACATAGAATTCTCAATGAGATGTGTTTTTGTGATTCAGATTGAGAACCGTTTGTCACCGATCGATAGAGAATTTTCAATATTCCGATAAATGGAACGTATGGTTGTCGTTTTTAATTGGATCGTTTGCATTTCATTCGAAAAGTTTCCAAGTGTCCTGGCCGGACGCCGCCGCCAACACGGTGTGTATATTTTCCGAGCAGCTCCTTTCTAAGTCACCGTTGATTAAAGA